CAAAATTCAAACCGTTCGATAAAATCTCCAAAAACATGGTAATATCCCGGAAATGTCCGAAATGGTTCGGATTTGCAGTTTGCAGTTTCCAACTACAGAATGGGATTTTTTGATACTTTAAAAGTATATCTGAATAATAGGTGTAAGGTTTTAGATACATTGACCTACACTGAGAAGGAAAATAAATCAAATAATATCGAAGCCAATTGTAAGAATAAGCACACCGAGGCATTTTTACTAATACTCCGCCCAATAACATACTTACCACAAATTGTGGTATCTGTAAGACCCAGCATTCCATTATGAAATGCTCTGTCGTTTTAAGTAAGTCCCCTCCTGAGCGCAATTTACATGTTACATGTCACTGGTTGTGTATCAATGGTTTGCGTTCTTTTCAAAAATTCTCGAAATGTAGTTCTAATAGGAGTTGTTTTTCGTTGCGGTTTTATTTCTCTAAATTTTGCACCTTCTAATAGTGCATTTACATTCCTTGCGAGTGCAAAAGTCGATTTTCTTGATAGTCATGGTTATTCCACACAGTCAGGGTACTACTGGATAGTGGCAGCGCAGTGTGTGATATGACCTCTGTATCATCCAATAGTGTTACTTGTCTTACCGTCCACCCAGTAAGCAAGGACGCAAGTTCTTTTCCTATGGAATGCGCAATTTTACCGCTGATTTTTCTGTCACGAAAATGTCACATTTAGATAAGCTAGAAGTTTCTGATGACATCTATAATACATTCACGGACCTATAGATCCGCTGATCGGATGCCACCGATTTCCTTTAATCATGTTTGCTTGAGAAAGTGTGTGGTAAAGAATTTGAGCTTATCGCATTCAATACGTTAGTTGGTTGGGTGATAATGGGCAAAATTAGTGCCATCAAAATCACTCCGGCATATTCCTTTTGCACGCTATTAAAGGAAAATCAGGATAAAAAAATTTACAGATTCTAGGAAACGGAAGAGATTCCAAATAGGAATTCTTTAACTCGTGACGATCCCGCGGAAATTTCTTTCACAGAAACTAATTTCCGAACTCCTGAGGGACGGTTTGTTGTTATTCTTCCATTTTCAAGTAGCGTACCACAATTTCCCGACTCACACTCTCTAGCGTTAAAGAAATTCTATAGTTTAGAGTACCGTTTTCTTAAGGATCCTTCATTATTTAATTCATATTCCATTTGATGAAGGAATACTTAGAGCTGGATCATATGGAACTGGTGTGCGCTCCTGTTTCTGACATTCCACAACGCCACTTCTATATCCCTCACCATGGGGTGACGAATCCAAATAGTACAACTACGACATTGGGAGTGGTATTTGACACTTTGTTATTGGTCCCAAACTACAAAATAAAATTACAAGCATTTTCTTGAGTTTTCGAAGCGTTCCCATAGCGTTTACTGCTGATGCCAAAATGATGTACTGATTGTAAATCATATTTTTCTACTCCCGTCTGTAAAATACCTAGTTACCCACCGATCTAGCGTGCGGGAAGCGTCACTTTACCACATCAGTTTCGTTTCCCACGAATCCGAGTCACTTCGGACATTTCCGGGATTTTACCGCACCGGTTTGGGAGCAATCGGATGTTTTCAGATATATTTCCAACGCCTTGAATTGTGAGGTCTGTCAATTCTGACAGTCATGTCAGTGAATATATTCGTGTTGTTTTGCGAAAATGTACCCAAAACTAACGGTCGTAGAAAAATTATAGTATGCAATACGTTCGGTAATAGTATATTATGCAATGCTGTAAACGGGTTTATTTGATACGAGCGGAGCGAGTTTTTAATAAACGAGTGAGTTAAAAAGTTTACCGAACGTGTTGCATACTATGCTTTTTATACGACCGTTAGTTTTTGGGTACATTTTCGCAAAACAAAACGTGTTTTAAAATGTCAGACTAAACAAAAAATATTTGAAATAATAAATAAAAGCTTGGTAAATTTCAAACTGATAAATTTTGACCCCGGTTATTATTTTTTACTGTTAAGTAATTCACACTTTTTTAAAAGGCTCTTTACTAACTTAATTTCAATAAGATGTTTTCTGCCAAATAAATAAAGAGACATTCAGACCAGTTGGTTTTTGTTATAGCGACTGCATCATTTAAGCTGTAAGTCACTGTATAACGTTTGGTATTGTTTTAGGAAAACGAGTACGAAAAAAACATTGAAGTCCTATGGCGTTATATTTTAAAATAATTGGGCGAGATTATAGCAGTAAAAAAAAGGTTATTTTTCCTACATATTGAGTTTTGTTTTTTGTAAATGATTTTGAAGCTATTACATAGTATATGTACTTCGGACGTAAAAACGTAAAAACTACTAAGTGAATTGTTTTTTCATAGTTTCCAGCTTCTAAAAATAAAAGCATCGAGCACATTATTCCCCCAAAACTTTTCATCTATCATAAGTTGTTTACGTCTTATATGTGAAAGTCTCATGTTGCGTCGCCCATACGCGCCTCGTCTCACCACAACCACCCACCTTAATCAACTGCTTATGGTCCGCGACTATCAAAAGCACAGCATACGACCGGAGCATCCCCCTACAATGGCTGGGGGGTCACCGTAGGCGACCGGAGCACAATAAAATTATCTAATACATATTTACCCATTACTTTTAATACGTCGGCGCTCAACGACAGACGGATTCGATCCTCGGCAGACGCGAAAAAAAAGGAAGTTGGGTATTGTGAAACCTCCTTTCTACTGTGCTCATTTTATATGTAGCATTTTTATGGCAGTATATTCTTAAAATATAGATTTTAAATGTTCGGGGAAAACGAATTAAGTATGGAGGTCGGTGTTTTAAAGAAAATGGCCACCATATTATCTAATAATATATAAGGGAGTTTTCCTCGTTGATGGTACGATAGACGTTTGAGGCGAATGGTACAATAAATTGTTCTGAAAATTTGATTGGAAAATATTTTTAACACTGCGACGTGGCCGCTTCTTCGAAAAAGTAGAATGAACATTGAAATTTTAAATGTGACACCATGTACATTATTGCTTTTTCCGATCCGCTACTACTTTACGTTTTTGAATAATAGGTTCATATACCTATTTTTGGTGGTTTTCGATTAAATAATTATTTTCTTTATTTTTCGACAAGAACATGACTTGCTTAGTTTTTTGAAATTTGAAGTTTTGGGGCTCCGCTCCTATCCTGGGTATCCTATGAAATGTGGGAAAGGTGAAAAAAGCATCCGATATAGATTTTTACGTAAAATTCAGTGGCGTAGTCAGTCTCTTTCTAAATGCTTTCGTCTTTTTGAAAAAATAAAGTTTGTTAACCACAGTGTTATAGGCCTCTAACAAAATATTAATCCAAATGTAGGTAAAATTACAAAAACGACGTCAACCTCTATAACTCGAAGTTGAAGGGACTGTGAAAAAAGTTCGAGTTATATATAGAGAGTATGAGTTAAAGGAAAAATGCATACTTACTTTAAATAAATTTTTTGTATTTCAAAAAAAAATAATAAACAACCGAACGGCGCTAATTATTAAACCGACAAAAAATATAAAAATAGCGACTTTATAAATTGTGCTAGCCTGGCTGTACTTACTTTTAAATGTTCATTTTTCAGCCTGTCATGTCATATGGTTGATAATTTTTTTCTTGGATATCATTTTCTACTTCTGCGTTTTTTCATCAATTATTGTTAATATTTTAAGTTTTCGCGACGACGGCCCCTAAAATAGGGCGAGATACAGATTGTATATCACAGGTAGGTTGTGAAATAAACGTAATTAACCAATGGAATAACGATGAATCTGCAGGATTCCAGTCGGAGTTCAACAAGCGAACGGATGATATCCCGGAATATAGTGTCATCACATTTTTCCATCCGTGAATCAATACGTGAATATATATATATATATATATATATATATATATATATATATATATATATATATATATATATATATATATATATATATATATATATATATATATATATATATATATATATATATATATATATATATTATTTCTTTGTGTCCTTAATCTCGAACCCCCAAAATAGTAAAATTGATTTCTCCAAATAGGTTCCACTAAATCGCGACTTCACATATTTGCCTTATTTATTCCTAACAATACTTCACGATAACTTTTATAATTTGCACGAAGCCAATTTAGTTTAATATTAACATCTTATTTGTAACATTTCACATAGATTTCTGACCTATAAATTATTAAAAAAGATAAACCAAAACGAGAACTGTTGTGAACCCGGCAATTCGACGAGCGCCGTTTTATAAATCGTCAGCACTTCCAAACAAATAGTGGAACCCTTATTTCGAGAACCGTTAAAAAGGGTACGACAGAGAAACGGGTCGACTATCAGACAAACGGCGATATGCTTGCATCCCGAGAGTACCCCGATACCGATTGTCGCGATTCTAATATTTTAGTTTTATAAATAAGTTAGTTCAACTTTTGAATAAATTCTACAACTTAACTTAATATTAAACTAAGTTGCTTCATGCGAATTATAAAAGTTATCGTGTAAGTATTGTCACGAATATATAAGGTACCGCAAATACCTTCACAAAAATTTAAAAAAATCATTTTTGTCAGGTCCTTTACACAAACTACCCCATACTATTATACATTTTTTACTACGCCTCCGAATTCTACGTAAAAATCTATATCGGATGGGGTTTTCACCTTTCCGACCCTTCATAGGATACCCGAGATACGAGGGGTGCCCCGAAACTTCAAATTTCCAAAATAACCCTGTATTTTAAAAATTAAACAAGTCATGAAAATTTTGTCATATTTTGTTTAACAAAAAAGTACCAAAGGTTTGTGAAACGCAAATCTTCACTAACAAACAAAATGAGACAATGTAAAATATTTCTTAATATCGAAATTATGCTATATCATACAATATACAATACAATACAATAATTAATTTCTCGAAAACGAAAATGTCAACTATGAAACACCCCGTATATTGGGCACTTTTTCTATAACTTTATTTTTGCGACGGAATTTCCTTACACACCCACAAGTTATATGGGTGGTATGTTTAAACATTTATGAAAAATGATCCAACATTAAAAAGTATGTTCATATTAAATCTCCAAAGTTAAAAAACACCTTTTAAAAACAAAATTCCCCTAAAATAATTAAGTATACTTCGCTTAAAAAGATTGCCTGTTTTGCCTAATTGCCTTTTAACAGCAATTTTTATCTTATAAAAAATACATGCACACATACTGCAGAGATTGTATCTGTTTACCGGTTTAATTGGTTAACTTTTTAGAATTAAGCCGAGATATTATTTACCTATGCTGGCAACCGAACGAAACTCTAAGAAGCCAGCTTCCGCTGAATTGTCAAATCATATACAATAATTATTGTGAATGTTCTACAGATGGCTTCAGTCATATAGCTACTAGCTTGATAGCTTCAGTTGTAAACAAAATGGGGGTGATCATTTTTTTGATGTCCAAAATATAACCTTGCACAAACTATCTTGTTTATTATCATATTTGGTTTTGACAAAATTGTTAAAATCAATTATTTACTTTTTACATCTGATTAAATGAGAATCTGTAAGTTCGTCTACTATTCTTTAGGATCTAAGTCCTTAACACAACTATTGCATCTATAAATTTCTGACACATACTGAAAGAATTATAACACCTATAGTTAAATTAATTGCAGATGTAAAAGGAACAAGTATTGTCAGGTTAATTAAAGAAATTCAAATCCACATTTTTTAATATTTTAGAAAATTTAGACTACAAAATAATTAATTAAGAAGCAATTTAAGAGTTTGAGACACGACCTATTATATATTTATAATAAAATATTTAATAAAAGTAGTCTAATGAGAGTTAGAATTTTTTTAACTTTGAAAGCTGATTTTGCCTTTTAATTCCCATGCGTCTTATTCTTCTCCAATAAGCTTTTGAATTTGGATCCAAATCATCTAACTGGAGAGGAGGACCTGTCCTTACATTCCAAAGCCACTCTGGATACTCGCTGTCAGGCAACAATTTAATATCTTCCCCTGTTTTATAAATATTTGAACCACATAGGTAATTCACCAATTTTTCAGGATCCGTCTCCACTGGTAAAACTCTTTTTTCTACTGTGGGCCCCAGCTTGCCTAATTTTTTCTTTTTAAGGCTACCGCCTAACATACTCACGCCTGAAACCAGAATCCACTGAAGATATTAAAAACGTAATTATTGCAACTTACTTGCAGCCGGTTTCGCATAACCATTTTTTGGACAATTGAAAGTAAATGATTTAATGGCACATTTAGGTATAGATATTAATTTGCAAACTAACATTTTTCGAAACGGAGTCGACCCTTCGTATTCTTAAGCTGAAAGGTGAGGTTAGGAGCACAGACTATAGTATAGAATTGATAAAAACTGACGTGCACCACAAATTATTAAATGTTTCATGCATTTGCAAAAATAACCCATGCATTGAGTTAACCCCACTCTGCCATATAATTATTCCCAAATAGTTGGTAAAGGTTTGTGTTGTAAATACCTTAGTCTCGTGCGAGTTTGTATTGGAGGCATTTTACGTCCTTGTCTTCTAATCAGTCCTGCTGAGGAACAGCTTAATATCGTTCGATAAGCGACTACTATCTTACGCCGGCAAGGAACGAGTTACATTGGTATTTCTGCCTAGCTTTTAAGAGAAAGCTGCATAAACTTCGTTAACAGACATATGGGCCATTCACCTAATGAACAAGAGAAAAAAGTAGAAACTTTTGTTTTATTAGTCATGTAAACAATTATTGGTGTCACAAATGTCACAATTAAAATGGTATATAAAATTCTAAAACGGTAATGTAAGTTAGAAGTCTTTGTATTCATCTATGGGAATGAATTTAAATGCCCACTAGCAGCTCTGTTGCTACAATTGTAAGTAGCTTGTGGAATGTGATCAAGTATTTTCAAACCTTCATTTAAAGGACAAGAAGAAAGTTATAAAAACAGTCAATCAGAAACGCATTGAACAAAATGATGTGGGCAAGGAGCAAAAATGTGTAGAAACGGAGAAGAACCTCCTAAAAATAGGTCCCGCACTACCAACAAAAGATAAAAGATGCCCATATGTTCGTTCGCAGAGTACTTTAAGTTCTTCCACTGTATCTAAGCTCCAGGATCATGCATATTACCCTATAGTCACTTTACATCCAAACTCTGATGGAACTGTACAAGTATCACGTACACAAAACGAAAAAGAAAAATTTCCAGACAGAATTAGCTTAGATAGAAGGGGTTTAACCAAAGTTCCAATAATACAAGGCGAGCCTAAACTGAGATTATTGTCACTGCAGCACAATTTAGTCAATGATTTAGAATTACTGGTCAACCAAAAATTTCCTGTTTTAGTTTTTTTAGACATATATGATAATCAGCTAGAAGAAATAAAGTATTTGGATTGTATAGAAAATTTAAGGGTATTGCTGATGGGAAAAAATCGGTAATCTTTACAGTGAGTTGTAAGTACTGGAATTTATATGTATATTTTAGGATTAAAAAAATTGAAGGATTGGAACATTTACAAAAATTAGAAGTATTAGATCTTCATGGCAACATGATCATTCAAGTTGGTGGTTTATCTAATTTATTGGAATTGAAGGTTTTGAATTTGGCTGGGAATCAAATTCGAAGTATTGGCCAAAAGGATTTGCAAGGGCTAGTTTCTTTGCAAGAGCTGAATTTAAGAAGAAATCGATTAAAGAAAATACTTGGCTTCCAGGACACACCAAATTTATCCAAACTTTTTATTAGCAATAATGATATTCAAAGGTAAATGCAAAGAGCAGTTAGTAATGGTTGGTTCAGGTTCTGATAAACATTCTACACTGTGCAAAAATGGATAAAATGTAACCTTTTTTAGTGTTGAATGTATAAGTAGCATAGTAAAATCCCAGAACATCAAAGAAATATCTGTGGACAACAATCCAATATATTTAACAGCAGATTGTGTGTCATTTCTCGTATCATATCTTCCAAATTTGATGAAACTCAACTCAATGCAGATAACAGAACAGGTAAGGAAAGCTGCTATGGCCTGGAGAAGAAACAAAGAAGCAAACAATCCTGCATTTATGGATTTGACTAGTGAAGCATCAATGACTTTTAAAAGAGAGGAAGTTATTTCTAATGCAAGGACTAATTGGGAACTTTTGAGGTACTTTTTGGTTAATCTGTTTATATTGCTAAGTTGAAGTAATTATCTATTAGGTTTTTACTTATAAATATGTTTATTATTATGCTCCATTAAATGTTATTCATTTCATTCACTTTTAGGTCTCAAACAAAGTGTCTCACAAACACTGTGAATGCTGTAGATAAAACACTAAAAAATCTAAAGCCCGATTCTGATTTTATTTTAACTTCATTGTCTTCCAACAAATCAAATCTAAAACCAACCTCTAATATTGCATCCAAATCCAAATCTTGTCCAAAATTAGCATCAAAGGTTCCTCTGTTACCCAACAAAAAGTTTATGCTACTCAAAACTCCATCCCAGGAGACAGAGAGTTCTCAAAACACTTCCTCATCAAATACAACCAACAATGTTGTAGTTAAATTACCTCCAATTTTGGTTCCAATCATAAGTAAATTGGAACAGAAAGACTGTAGAGAAGAAGGCATTAAAGTGTCCAGCAGTTTATCAAGTATAGGACCCAATATTGACAGCTCCAGTTCTCTATTCAGTGGTGGTGATATGGTGAGATCCAGTTCATCTTTAAGTAGTTCCAAGCATTCAGATTTAGGATCTGAAGTGGATGATGTAAAAGAATTTGGGAGTGTTGAGAAAAATGAGTTACAGTGAGTACTTCATATTTCGTAGTTTTTTTAATATATTTATGGAAAAGATCTCTAACTATATAAGCTGATTCATTGTTTTTGGCCGGTTAGAGGTTGGAAAACAAGATGTAGGACCCATCTGAAAATTTGGTCATGTACATAAGGGAGGACGATCTAGGGTCTAATATATTTTCAAGGATGTGGCATTGCCTCTTTTTTGAAAAATTAGCATCAACTTTGGAATTTTAAAAGGGACATCCTATGTATTATTGGTTTTTCTATTCCGCCATCAATTCCATAGCTCCAATTTATTCTTTATTATTTATATTTATATTTTTAAATTTATAGAGAGCTGGAATTTCAGCTATAGTTTATGAAGGTCTCATGTAATAGTTTTATGTAGACAAGTTCACTTTGTACTACATATTAAGGAGCGCTCAACATGATTATATCATTTGCAGAGGTTTTTAATTATCTTTGAGAATAGTTGAAAAAATGCAATTTTCATTGTTTTTGTTGTCTCCCCTATAATCCCAGATTTTGGGCTCCCCTATTTATTATAGTATACCTAGAGTTTTTGCATAAGACCTTTGTAAACTATAACCAAAATTTAAGCTCTACGAATTCAAATAAGGCTGTATTAAAGGTTTAATTAGAGCCATATTTTGAACAAAAAATAGGAAAAACAATTTTTCGAAAACCACTAAAGATTGGTATAAGGTATTATACAAAAGTAACTAGAACTTGATATCCAATAACATATATATCTCATTTAAATATATCTGATTTAAAATATAGACATTATCTTTCATAGTAACATAATTAGATAAATTAGATAAAATAAATAAATTTATTATAATAATAATACTAATTTATAATAATAATAATAATATAATAATAAAAAATTTATAATAATAAATGTAAGTAAATAATTAAGGGTGATATGTATGTAACTAATCTTTGGTTTGTTTTCCAATTAGATCACCTATAACCAGCAATACATATTTGGGAATTAACATTGAACATGGAAACAACAGTAGTTGTGGTGGATCAAGTAGTAATAATAATGAAGAAACTTCGAGTAATCTCTCTGCAATTACCAGCAATTCCATTCTGAGTGTACAAAGTACATCCTCAAATGATAAGAGTAGCACAAAATCTACTACTAGTGTCAGAAACATTAAAAGCGCGGTGAATGGGAGACCATTGCCAAAGTCTATTCTACCAAGAGCATCGACCGCAAAAATAAAAAAAACAAATTCTCCTGGGTTGCCAAAGGATCGGGAACAAGGAGGAGATTATTTGATAGAAATATGTGGCAGACACTTAAATGTGTTTGGTCAGGGAGCGCTAAGATTTATTGACAAACCGTGGAATACTATGAAAGCAAATGACGTCACTACTGTTAAGTTTAATTATGTCAATTTTAGTAGTGTAACTGGCTTCCTGAACAAAGTAAAGTTGCGTTTTCCAAATGCGGATCATTTTGTATTTAAAGAAACAAATATAAATTATCTGGGGCAATTGAATGCTCTATCTGAAGTACAGGGTTTAACAGCTTTAACTATTAGTCCAGAAGGCAACCCAATTTGTGAGAAAGAATGGAAGAGCTATGCAATATATAGACTCGGCCACTGGGGACTTAAAAGGATAAATGATTTAGAGGTTTGTGGTCCTAAAAAAGTCTTACCTTAGAAATAATAATTATAAACAAATTATTATCAAATTTACAGATTTCTAATGAAGATACAAAAAATGCAAATGACCAGTATCAAAGTTTGAGTGACTTGGTTTTATGGTCTCTTCCTGATGTTTTATTACAACCATTACTAACTCGATTAAGAATTGATGTCCATCATGGTATCACTGATGAAAGTGCTAAAAAATGGATAGGAACTGCAGATACTGAATTGAGAAGTGTTGTAAGTAAGGAAGCCTTGCAGTGCAAAAAAGGATCAATTTCTCAGGTGAATAACATAGTTAGATGAAATATTATAAGTACAATAATAGATTTTAGGATGACATGGTGATGAGACAAAAGGGTAAGCAGCATATTTCGGCCATGCTAGAAGAAATGTCAAATGCAATGAACAAGTTAGAGATTTTAGATCAACAGTGGCCTTCCATAATGCATGAGTTTGTTCAGAACACACTATTGGACTACTCACAGTTAGATATGTATATGAAGCAAAAAATTCAAGAACTGAATAAATGAATACTCACTGCCTGACTAAATTTATCACAAACATTTGCACCGAATATTAAAATATATATTACTATATATTTTCTCTAATTATTGCTATTGTTGAAATGTTATTGTTCTAATACATTAAAACAACTTTTTTTACATTGATTCTACTTTATTTTATTCTACCACTTCATCTCTATTTCTTTAAATTTGAAAGATTTTAATGAAAAGGATCGTAAGTATCTGAAGAAGACTATAAAGACTATACTGTTACAATGAACATTAATTTTTGAGTAATTGGAATTTGAACTGATCAGAACACATGATACCATCCGTATTTGGAACGCAGAAAAAACGGGTCTTTAATATGTGATCGCCCATTAGTCTGACCAAATATAAAATTATACCAATTTATCAACCCCTTTTCTTGCTCCTGTTTACCTGGGTTTTTATTTTACAGTTTCCTGGCTGTCTTTTATTCATTTTCATTGTTTTAAAGGGGCTTCTGGCCGAACTTATTTTTTATTGTTTAAGCACATGTCATCAATTTTGATTACAATTCGTTGTCATCAAAAAAAATGTAGATGTAAAAGAATGATTCAGGGAAAAATGACTGATGTGTAGAATAACGATAGCAGCTTGACAAACGTCAAAATGCCACCAGTGTTTTAAATAACCACCAATAATCCAATTAGTGTTGTCAATCGTCCATTTAACGAGAACCAAATCAATCAGTGACAAATTTCGAAAAGAATCGTATCTTTTCAATCAATCTTTCATCCGAACAGTCCGAACGACCGATTCAGATTCATTGGAATTTGAATTATTGTTACATTTTCTGATTTAGTTAGAATTATATTTAGTTGTCTTCTGTTTACATTAATTAATTTGTTTAAATTAAATACCTGCATGGAAATAGATATTTAATTCAGCACAAAAGCAAATCTACCAATCGATATCGCAACTCAATACTATACAATTATTATTTATTGTTGCAAATTTATTATCATTATTTTCCGTGGTCTGTTGCTGTCATGCATTTCAATCTTAAACCATTGAAATGAACCACATTCCGTAAGACGAATTCGATTTGCATTCGATACAGCAAACTAGAGTTGTGGCAATCGCGATTGATTCGGTGGTCACTTTGATTCAATCACTTCGACCGAATCCCCGACCGTTCGTACGATTCGATGACCTTGTTCGCTCTCGCTGCCGCCCTGATCGGTCTGAAGTGACCGAATATAGGACGACAGATCGACCGACCGAATTCGCCGGAAGTTGAATAGTTGAGGATTTAAATGCATGACTGAGACAGGGCACGGGAAAGGAATGGGAGTATTGTTATGATTATTCTATAGTATTGATTTACGACATAGATCTGGAGATTTGCTAATATGTTGAATTGAATATTGAATGAAATATCTATTTCCACACAAGTATTTAATTTAAACCAATTAATGTATTACTGGTACAACCCAATGCGTAGCACCTAATTTGATAAAATCATGATTCAATAAAAAGCAAAACAAAGCTACATATTATACTAATTAGAACAGAAAACATAACATATAGACACAACAATAATTTAAATGCAAATGAATCTGAGTCGCTCGTTCCGACTGTTCGGATTCAGTGACTATTGCCGCTTATGTTGGCATTAAAAAGTATTGAAATGAACGATTGATTGAAATGATTCGGTCCTTTTCGAATCGGTCACTAATTGATTCGATCCTCGTAAAATGAACCATTAACACAACACTATCGCAAATGAAGACTTTAAAATTACATTTTAAGCTCAAAAATATAACAACTTTCTCAATTCATCCGGGTTTTACGGTTACTCAACTGCCTCGATGCCAAAGAATTAAAACCAAGATCGTAAATACTACTGTCTTAATTAGTCTTCTATGATCCGTGATTGATAAACCATGTTTAGTTAATTATCAATTCTAAACCAAAATAACAAATAACCTCATTCTTGCAAATTGTAACACAAAAATTTCCTTGGAAGAAATGTGTTAAACGATGGCCAGCAAGATTTCAGAGGGCACATTTAGAAGTGCCTTTAAAGCTGTAGATAAAGAACTTTTGCGATGGTTTCCTGGACATATGGGAAAAGGATTAAAACAAATGCAACAGAAGCTGAGATCGGTAGATTGCGTTATAGAGGTTCACGATGCGCGTATACCAATATCTGGAAGAAATTCGGATTTCAAGTATACCATAAGTGGGGTGAAGCCCCATATACTCGTATTAAACAAAGTGGACATGATTGATAGGTCATACAAAAATAAAATTATTAAAAAATTAGATCCAGAGAATCCAAATATAGTATTTACAAATTGTAAAGATCCTAGGTGCCCTGGCGTAAGAAAATTATTTCCTTTGGCCCAGGATTTGATTAATAACTCTAACCGTTACAATAGAACAAATGAAGAAGATTTTAATATCATGATAATAGGCGTCCCCAATGTGGGAAAATCTTCCTTAATAAATGCATTGAGAATAAAATTTTTAGGCAAAGGTAAAGCTTCACAAGTGGGAGCTGCACCTGGAATTACTAAAAGTGTACTACATAAGATAAAAATGTCGGAAAACCCATTAATTTATATGCTTGATACACCTGGTATACTTACACCAACTATAGCTGATATTGAAACTGGATTAAAACTTGCCCTATGTGCCACCATTCAAGATCATTTAGTAGGAGAAACAATAATTGCAGATTATTTGCTTTATTGGTGCAATCATCACAAACATTTCAAATATGTAGATCATTTTAACTTAGTCAAGCCTTGTGATAATATTTTAGAAGTTTTAGTTCATATAAGCAAACTGTACAATAAGATGATTAAGGTTCGAAATCCAATGAATGAATATGAACTGAAACCGCATTTACAAGTCGCGTCAGTAATTTTCTTAAAAGCTTTTAGGGACGGCAAATTAGGAAAATTTGTTTTGGATGAAGATTTACTATAAGCACAAAACAAGGATAGGAGCAAGTAGTTCACATTTAAGTTGAATGTTATATTTTTTTAGTGTATTTTGTTCCTTAAAATATTTTAAAAAGCTAAATACAAATGCAAATCTGAATTAAGTGTCTTCTATGTTGGTTTGATGAAATATCCTTAAAGCATCCCACTGCTTGCTGTGCAACAATATGTGAGGGCGCTTCTCTTTCATATGATTTACTGCCTGTTCGGGGGTCCAATTGTATCTCTAAAATAAATAGGCTTAACCAAAGTATTATATTAATCCTATGAATACTATATGTTTACATAGGCCTTTCTAAAACTAATTTATGGCTCAGGTATACAGTACCTTCATTAAATAGCATCCTACAAGTGTCGCACTTCTTGTGCGACCTGCTTTGCAATGTACATATACTGAACTGGGTGAAACTCCATTGATCACATTCTCTGGCTTCACAAATTGGTTTATAAACTCCACACCTTCATTTAATTTTTTCTGGCAGGGAGTAGCAAAAATGTCTGTTGTGGCTAATTGTAAAAAGGCAATACCCTGACCTCTCCAAACCTATACAAAATAAAAGTAAAAAATTAACGTTATAATTTTTATAGCAATTTTTTCAGGCTCCTTGGTTCGGTTTGTTAATTTTTAAAGCAGAACTTGCTATGGTTGAGATACCCAGCAAAAACTATATTTCTTGCTACTATAAAAATAAAATTACCTTTCCATCGGCAGCTAGAAGTAGTTCATAGTCTTCATTCATCGAAACCACGGCTTTTACATTTTCTTTTTCTGCAAGCTAAAACAACAAATTTTCGGTATAAACAAAAAATAAATATATTGGCTGTCACAACTAACCTCTGTTTTCATGATATAAACTAACCTCAATCAGATTTCAGAATTTCGCAATATAATAATTAAAGTGTGGAACTTACCCCTTTTGCCACATCAGGAAAGGGCAATGCTCCCAACAAAACGGTATCGTCGATCCTGTTATACCATTGCCTGGGTGTCACTTTTTCCATCAAAACATTATAAAGCAAAGTTGGATAAAAAGTAATCCGCGCGAACATTTTTTCATCTAAAATCGGATTTTTGGAATTGTAACTAAATAGATTCAGAATCCATGATTATTGATTTTATCTTGAAATAAGGCCTAAATCGGGTCAAAATTTTACAACCGAAAACCAAATGCTTATAGCATTTGTTTCTATGGATGTGAAAGTTTATAGAAAGTTTTCTGACCCTACCGCAAAATGGCTAATTAATTTGAATTAACATTTTTCAAGTGATAAGAGTTCCACAAATTCCAACGCTTAATTTGAGTACTATTTTATTGATTTAATTTTTAAATCAATCTTCATAATTAAAACAAATATTCCATAATAATGACTTACCAATTAAATGTTTTATTAAGTTAACAATACTTATTTTAATTCATAACAAAGCACATTCATTCTAGTATTTTTTATATATTCTCTAATTGATAAAATAAAAATTTTTAATCTGTTTTAAATTAGAATATACAGGTAATATTGTTTTTAGTAGTTTTACTTGCTTTTTTTCACTGCACTTAGTGTGTTGGTTAGTTTTAGCGCTTAATATTTTGGATTGCTTTTTATTGACACCAAAAATAAGGATTAAAAATTAACATAATCAATCTAAATAAAACCATTTTTTACAGTAATAGGATTTTAGTTAAAACAAACAAAATATTTACAGAAATACTGGTTATTTACTCTTGAATTGCCCACAATTTTTGGAAAGTTTTTCCAATACCCTCTGAATTATGGTTGTAGTACAACAAGCTGCCAAGTGTAGTTGCTGAAACTACATACAACAAAATTAAAGCCAATTTTGGAAGTACTGGACCCAAAATGGCTGGCCTAATATAATCAACTACGACGGCTTCAAGTCCCCTAAAAATGAAAATAGTTGAAAGAAAAGTCCAGAAACCACCTTTTTATCTTCTAAAAGTTACGTTTTTAATTTAGCTGTTAAAGAAATGTTTTAGCTAATACTAACCAATGGAAGTGAATAACCGTCGTTAGAGCAAATAAATTATCGAAAATTGGATTAGGACAAATAAAAGTTGCAGGCGCAATCCCTATAAGCAAAACTGAAACAGCTTTTTCGATCGGCCATAATTTGCTATGATCTGCCGACATATTTCTTTTGGTCTGATTGATAACATTAACAAGATTCATTTTGGTTTTTGCGACTAGTGGAAATTGGTTTCGATTGTTGAGCAACTGAGAAAAGCTTTGGGTTCTTCTGAAACTATGAAACGGGGGACTTGAAATACCTGCAAGTTTAATTATATAACTTTCCCGAAAAATAAGAAGCAGTATAAATTACCTCTCAATTTCGCCGTATTTCTGAGTATTAATGAAAGTGCCATTGTGAAGTTTTCGTTAATTTCTAGAATAAGATTTAATTGGTTAATAAATTTTAATTTTTATACGTATATGTCAAAAATTCTAGCTATCCAAGAAAAACCGTTATGGAGAGGCCAGTTAGTTGTGCTTTGCATAGATAAATATTGGAAGCTTATGGAGGGGTAGCTTACAAAATCTGTAATTGTTATGTACGTCTGTCAGTAGGTTTTAATTTTAAAATCCTAATTATAAAATACTTTCGATATTCGTTGTAAGAAAACAAGTTTTGAGTTTGATAATTCTATTTGATTGTCTGCGGAAGTCATGTTCTATACTTTTATGGGCGAATGATCTTGCTAGGTATTCATTTTTGAGGATATTTTTGTTCTCAATATGTCATTTTCTATGATGTAAATTCTGAGTGAGTCGTCAAATTTTGTTGGTTGGCTTGTTTCTTGTTTTTTTGGTTAACAAAAATTTAAATAGTAAAGTACAAGTAAATTGATTTGAATTCGGTTAAAATGGCTACTCTTGAAGACAAGGCGATATGGGATGATGGCGAGGAAGCTTTAGGTGAAGAAGTACTTCGAATGTCTAATGACGAAGTTATAAGCAGAACAAGACTTCTAGACAATGAAATAAAAATAATGAAAAGTGAAGTCATGAGAATCAACCATGAGTTGCAGGCTCAAAATGAAAAAATTAAGGAAAACACAGAGAAAATTAAAGTAAATAAAACTCTACCATATTTAGTGTCCAATGTTATTGAGCTGCTTGATGTGGATCCTCAAGAAGAGGAGGAGGATGGTGCAGTAGTCGATCTGGATTCTCAAAGAAAGGGAAAATGTGCTGTAGTAAAAACATCAACTAGGCAAACTTATTTTTTGCCAGTCATTGGTCTGGTTGATGAAGATAAATTAAAACCTGGCGATCTTGTAGGAGTAAATAAAGATTCATATTTAATATTAGAAACTTTACCAGCGGAATATGATGCGAGAGTCAAAGCGATGGAAGTTGATGAAAGGCCAACGGAGCAATATTCAGATATTGGTGGTTTAGACAAGCAAATCCAAGAGTTAATTGAAGCAGTTGTCCTACCTATGACACACAAAGACAAATTTGTAAATCTTGGCATACAGCCCCCTAAAGGTATTTTATACTTAAAAAAATAACTTTCAATAAATGGTTTGTTATTTAAATTTATATTTTTTAGGTGTTTTACTATATGGTCCCCCAGGCACTGGCAAAACACTGTTGGCTAGAGCTTGTGCAGCACAAACTAAATCGACATTTTTAAAGTTGGCTGGTCCTCAACTTGTTCAAATGTTTATTGGTGATGGTGCTAAACTTGTCCGCGATGCATTTGCCCTGGCTAAAGAAAAAGCTCCTGCTATTATATTTATTGATGAGTTGGATGCAATTGGTACGAAACGTTTTGATTCCGAAAAGGCTGGAGATCGTGAAGTACAGAGAACCATGTTAGAATTACTAAATCAGCTAGATGGATTCAGTTCTACTGCAGATATTAAGGTCTGTCATCTTTTAATTAATTATGGTCGATTTAAAAAAAAAAATTATAGGTTATTGCAGCAACAAATCGAGTTGACATTCTGGATCCTGCGCTTCTTCGTTCAGGTCGGCTTGATCGAAAAATTGAATTTCCTCATCCTAATGAAGAGGCTAGAGCCAGAATTATGCAAATTCACTCCAGAAAAATGACCGTCAATCCCGATGTTAACTTTGAAGAATTAGCCAGATCAACAGATGACTTTAATGGGGCGCAGTGCAAGGCAGTTTGCGTTGAGGCGGGTATGATCGCTTTGCGCAGAAATGCTACAGCTGTGACACACGAAGATTACATGGACGCCATAATGGAAGTGCAGTCCAAAAAGAAAGCTAACCTTAATTATTATGCTTAAGTTATTTGCTTTTATTTTTTGCTAATAAAACATGTTTGTAACTATAGCACATTATGGACAGCAAATTTGTTTAATTTCCATCCAAACACTGGTCATTGTGGTCATAATGCCAAATTTATTGTTCATTCTACTGTTGAGAGCACATTTGCTATGCTTGCGAGGAGAGATCGTAATAAGTATTTCTAGTCCTTTCATAGTCAAACAAAAACGACACATTGAAAAAATAGATTTATATGATAAATTTACTGTGTTTTCAATTTATTATACTCGTTACAGCCTTGGTATATTCGAGATTACAAAACAAATAGCTATAGATATGCAACATTTCACCAGTGGTATGTGAGTAAGCATGAATATTTCTATCCCAAAAACATCTTCCTTTTTTCCTGATGTTGTGATCCAGGCATTCACTTCTTCATTAGTAACCTTCTGGGGCCATGGTATCTTCAGGATTCTGCTGTACAGCCAGCACTCAAAGGCTTGGAGCTTGGACATGGTTTCCTGTTTTAAGGTCCAGGACTCCACACCATACAGAAGAACCGAGTACACATTACACTTTAGTAGTTTTTTATTTCCCGTGAGAGATTGTGGCTTTTGAATACTTTCACCCTTGCTAATAAAGCACTTATAGCTTTTCCAATTCTGCACCAGATCTCTTGGGAATTGTCCCATGAGTCATTAATCATAGTTCCCAATAAATTATATTATGAAACTCTTTGGATTCTTGGTTGGTTTATATATAGATTTGCTTGATTGATGTATTTCTTACTTATTATCATAAGTTTGGTTTTACCGGTGTTTATATTTAAGTCCAAACGCAAAAAGCAGTTTTTAAAAATAAGGCCTTTCTTAGAAACAAATATTTATACAGTTAAAAGGTCATTTCATGGCAAAAAAAATGCCTTGTTTAACTGAACTATGTATTTTGGTATTTTGGAATCTTAAGATTTCTTTGATTGAACTGAGGTGGCTTTTACTTGATGGAAATCCATTTATCAAAATAAATAAGAACTGAAAGTTCAGATTTTCACGAAACTATATATTTTTACATGACAATTGTTTCGATAACACCGTGTCTTTATCAAATGTGATTTGATAAAGACACGGTGTTGTCGAAACAATTGTCATGTACAAATATATAATTTCGTGAAAATCTGAACTTTTAGTTCTTATTTATTTTGAAGATTTCTTTGGTTGGTGCAACTGAACATTGAATATATCACCTTCATACTTGTATTGAAATAATTCATGGGTTATGAAAACGTTTCACAGTGACAATACAATCCATAGATAACTCTCAAGATCTACAAAAATTTAGTTTTGTTCGATTTTTAATAAAATGGAACTATTTTGAAAGAAAAATTGCAAAAACCAATGATTTAACGTAAACTTTTTATTAGCTAGATTCAAAATTAAACCCAAAACAACAAAATCTGTCTAAAAATAAATAACAGCTTAAATAATAAAATACAATAAATTTCAGATGTGCGAAAATTTGTGATGAATGCAAAATCAAATGAAAAGCACTGTACATATTCTGGAAGGAAAGTTACAATTCAAAACCACTCGATTGACAGTGCGCCTGGTAATAATAAGATTGTCCAAATAAATTAAGCCACACCTATTCAAAAAGGGGAAAAAAACAACATTCAACTCTTATTTTTCGTGTAGCGAGTCAAGTATGACGTGACGAAATTATATTAAAAATTGACTAAATCGTTTGTTGTCACCTTAAACTAACAGGCCAAACGAATACTCTAAATGCAAAAAAAAATAAGCGAATGGATAATTTTATATTGGAAAACCTTTTACAACGAATACTAAACAACGGCCTAATAAAAATTAGTTCAACAGCGCATTGGCAATTACTTCAACTGGAAGAAATTCATTCAACAATTGTTTTCGAAACTCTCGAAAATTCATTCCAATTAAAGTCGTTACATTTAGTTCGGTTTTCGTAATTTATAAGTAACAAACGCAACATTCATTTGGGGTTTACATTAAGATATTTTTTATAGATATCGAAATATTTATCAGAGGCGTGGAATGTCTGCTTGTGGTCTTCTCAAATACATGATTACACCCAGGACCGCCATAAGCGTCGAAAGTACATACAAATCCCAGTTGGAACCGAAAAATTCATCAAAATTTAAAAGATTCGTTATCGGACTCTGAAAAAATAATATATATTTGCCGAGATCTTCTAAGACTGCCACCCCCACACATGGAAAGTAATTAAAGTAAAAATTAAATCAAGAATGCTGAAATTTGGTGAAGAGATAGTCAACTTAATTAGTTTTATAAAAAAAGTCCTCTAAGTTTTTCGAGGAAAAGTGTCCAGCTGGCAATCGAAAATTACTGTTCATTGCTCACGCGATATAATTCATTGCATCAGCTGATTTCGTTATTTACTTATATTTATTGTAAAAGCAGCAATCTATGTTCGCAGTTACCTTGCATCAGTTGAACTATATAAATGTTTTGGAGACGAAACGGGCATAGGACTGGTTATGTTGGTGGTTATTAACGGTTTAAAATGCGAAAGATGAATTTTTAACAGATCGCTGCACTTTTCAACGTGCCTACCGTCAAACTTTCATTTCTTTTGGGGCAAAATACAATAAACCAAGTTGGACATAATCGCAGTGGCAAGCTTCAAGTAACAAGTTTACAATCCTAATAGAGAGAGTCATTTGAAGTTCACGCCGAGGCGAAGTTTTGTATTTGGTAAATATTACTCAATTTTGGCGTGTTTTTCACATTATTATGCATTTTAAATATATAATTTACAGAAAAAAAGAAAAATTGATTCGCTCTTCAGTTGACCTATAATGCACCACCCTACAGTCAGTTGACTGTTGAATGAAAAGAATATATTTTTTATAACATTGCATAAATATTTCCGTAAATTTAGTTAAAAAGAATGACAGGGGTCGTTCAGAGTTCAATAATCCCCTGCACTTATTTTAAGACAATAAACAAATATGTAGGAAAGTGTTTTCCTTCCTTAATATTTACTGTTCTATATATTTTCGTTTTTACGCTAAAAAATAAAACCAATATTTTTAAGCCGACGTTTATATATTTGAAACAAGGTATCAGCCCGTTGCATTTGTTTCAAAACACCTTGTATGTTTTTTTTTAATTTTCATAGAAAATGCTTTAGATATTGTGTTGATTGTTTGGAACAGGCCCACAATGCATAGAAACAATGTCTTTTGAGTCAAACTTATTGTCTTACTTTCTCCAGCAGCGTCGGTGTAAACATGATACTGAATATGAATCGAGAATTGATTGGATCCATTTGGCAGAGCTGAAAAATGATGGTTGTTTTCATGTCCTTTTGAGATATGGTTAATAATTTTTGGGTTACAACATTCTAAGTTGGTAGAATCGCCTTAATGGCGGTTTTTAAAACGATAACAATATTTGCACACCAATGAGTTTAATTTTTGACCTTGAAAACCCTTCCTGGGAAGGCAAAAACTCAAAAGGTCATTTTTACTCAGAATTGGATTGCGATTTCAGCAATCTGATTCATTTTTGAAAAAAACAGTGGTGTAAATCACCTGAAGTGTTTCTATGCATTCCTAGCCCTTACCAGATTGAACAAAATATCGAGAGCAGTTTCAAAAGAAATTAGCACTCTGTATATAAAATATAAATCGATTATTATTTATTATTATTTCTAAAAATCATCCAAGGAATCACACACCTTTAAGAATCAGCATCTTATTATGAAACACAATTTTAAAATAACAAAATAAGTGACTTACATGTTTCAAGTTGTCCATTCTGTAAACAAAGTTTAGCTTAAGAAGTGCCAACGCAACAGGTACTTTAGCATCGACGTTGGTTTCGGATGCTAAATCGTAACACCTCTTCGCCAGATGAATGTCCCTGTCCATACCTAAACCTTGTTCGTGCATGTATCCGAGATTGAACATAGCTTGCGCGTTATGTTGCTGTTCGGCAGCAATTCGGTATTGAGTAGCCGCCGTTTCGTAATCAACCGAGGTTCCCAAGCCGTAATAATAGTAATCGCCAAGTTTCACCTAGAACATCAAAAAATATATCCTTTGGTGATAACCCATACTTGCAATTTTCCAATTCCGAAATAGATGAATAGTGACCATAAAACTTGTGTATATTTGTGGAACAAGAAAAAACTGCAGCATGATGTAATTTATTCCGTAATATTTAACAATACTGATGGAAAACACGTACCTGAGCTGCTGAATATCCTTGAGCAGCTGCTCTGCCCCAATAAAGAAGTGCTCTAACTAACGACTCGTGAGTACTTAACATTGGAACTTCGTTCCTATCTAACAAAAAAGCAGCGTTACTCTGGGCCACCTCATAACCCAACTCGGATAACAAAGCATACTGAATAAACGATTGGTCGTAATGTCCGTAGCGATAGTCGGAATGGGCCTGCAATAAATACCACTAGTCTGGGTTATATTAACACAATTTAAAATTCTTACCATCATCAAGAATTCGCCCCATCTACCCCTTTCCGCAACATTTTTAAACAGTTCGACGGCTGTTGTACATGACCTAAGCATTCCGGTACCTTTAGCGTGCATCTGACCAAGATTGTAATACGCCAACACATGCCCCGACTGAGAGGCCAACGAAAAGTATTTATTAGCGAGTTTGTAGTCCCTTTTAACGCCCAGTCCACCTACGAATTTAGTACTTCAAATAGCCCTATCGTTTTCATATCAATTTTAACATACTGAAATACATATTGCCGAGTTGCAGCTGCCCGTCGACCCATCCTTGGTCGGCCGCAGCCTGGAAATATTGAAAAGCTTTTGCGTAATCTTTTTCCACTCCTCTGCCATAAAGATACATCAGTCCCAGGCCGCTCAAACCCACGGGGTTATTTAATTCCGACGCCTTTTTAAAATATTTAAATGCGGTGTCATTGTTAGCCTGAACATCATCACTTCCATCCAAATATATCTACAACGCACACTATCTTTACATATTTGTAGCATTTCTTAAGCGTCTTCTATCTACCTTTCCCAAATACGCCATTGCCATCGCGTTACCGGCGTTAGCGGCTTGAGTAAAATAATGCATTGCTTTTTGATAATCAAGATCGACGCCTCTGCCTCCTTGATAGTGTAATTGTCCAAGGCCAACCTGGATAATTTTGAAATTGGAATTTTTAATAGCCCAAATCGGAAGCTAGTAATTTTTACATTAGGTCAAGTTGTCAACTATTGAAGCTTGGAGTTTTATGACAACTTTTTATAAACAGCAATTTATCACTATTATTAAATATAAGTAAAAAAAGGTGATAACAGATTTTCAAAGAAAAAATACTAGTTATTTTACACAGGGATGCTTATGTTTATCTATATACTCTAATTGCGAGGGGGCGTAATAAAAAGAAAATTTACTTTTGTTTTTATTTCTAGGTACTTTTTTCACATTTGAAGCACTAGAGAAAATATTTCGACTGTGCTTTTTATAAATGAAAGTTAATTCAAAGCACTTTTAAACATTTAACCAACATAATGATCAAGAATGTTATTTTAGAGATATATTCGGTAAATCCTTGCGTCTAAGATTCACAATAGTTATTTTACCTGAGCTTGAACATCTCCTTTTTCAGCCAGCAACTGATAATATTCAAACAAATCATTGTCTAAAATTCCTGAAGTGTAACCATTTTCTAGCTCATCTAACAACCGAATTCTTTGTATAGCTGCTCCACCACTAAATGACACTCCCTGACTTACTAAAACAAATACAATATAGCATTAATCTCCATATACTGGTCAGTGTAAGTGCTATAAGGTTCAGTAAATAATTGAAAAGCTGTCTTTATGAAATACACTTTGCTGATTATTTTACCAAATTCAAGCTGATTTTGTGGTGTATAAGATTTGTGAAAAACCAATTTGTCGTGAAAAGTGAGTTTTTGTTTGGCCAATAAGATTAGTGAACCTTTTAACAAATTTTTAAAAACGCAATGTTTCTAAAAAGTGGCCACCCTGCTGACATTTATATTTCTCTCAGATTAAAAATATAAATTTGCTTACCTTTATCAGCAACCTGCCTGTAAAAATCCAAAGCTTTTTCACAATTAGGAGTTACAGTGATACCAGACCAGTATCGATAACCTAACGCCATTTGCGCCCACGTATTTCCACCTAAAGCGCCAAATGTATAGTACACTAGCGCTTTTGCCTGACTAACATTTACCGAGAGCCCAGTCGCATATAAAAATCCTTAAACATGAAACAATAAAAACAGTGATACTCTGCTCTGTTTATTTCATATAGCTAATTACAACAACAAACAACATACCAATCCCCATGTGCCCATCTGGATTACCCATTGCTACTAACTCTTCAAACATTTCTTTCGCTTCTTGAATGTTCTGCTTAAGGGGATTTCCAAACAATTTTGCCCAAGCTACCAAAGCTTTAGCATCTAAATTCCCTTTCTTTGTTGCTTCCAACAGCAATTCATAAGCTTTCAGTTTATCTGGCCTTGTTTTATTAAGCATTGCTACAAAAGTAATTTCTCTTTTATATCTCATGTCGTACTTGTGTTGGTGAAACAATAAAATCTGTTTTTGAATGATTCTTTAGCATTCAGATTTTCTCAAACATATACAGTATATACATATTTTATTGTACCATGCCTTTAAAGGAAGTTAGTACTTTCGAAATAAAATCATGTAGGTCAACAAAGTTCAGGTTATAAGGATGTGTAACTATTACATTAAAATATCAATTTCGGTTTGCTTACACTTTTGTGGAGTTTCATATACATTAAAGAGATTCTGGTTTAATAGTATGTTTTATTTGTTAGTTTGCTTACTTGCTGCATTTTCATAAATATTTTTGGCTTCCTCTTCTTCAGGAGTCAACTCCTTTAGTTGTGAGACAGATGCTGGTACAGGTGGAAGCTCTTCAGGTTCTAAATTTTTATCAGAATCCTTCACCCTGTTAAGGATATTAAAATCTTTAACCATCTTTTCTATTAGCTTGGCCTGGTTTAACATTATAAAATCTAATGCCTCTGTGAATGACAAAAAATTTTGTTTATTATGAAATTTATTAATTGGAATATAGTAAAAATATAATCAGAGTCCTAGTACCTTTCTGTTTGTCTTGTTCTTTAGTTAGATCTGGTGCTGGTTCAATCCGTATAGCTGTAGTTCCATCTCTATCTTCTATAGAGGCAACAAATTCCTTGCTTTCATAATAAGTACTATCTTCCTCAGTTTGCACTTCCTCACTCTCATCTTTCTTTTTTTCAGGTGGCCCTTTTGCAGTTTCCTCAGTGAATTCACAACACATAATCATAACGCAAATTAAAATGATGGTTTTATGGTGCATTTTCACTTAAATTTTGTTATAAAACATTACAAACATGAAATTATGTATCAATACTCCAACATCATCAACACATACGTGTCCTAAAACGTCACGATAACTTTACACATTTTGTGCCGTATCCCGCTGAGAATTATCAAATTGTAAGCATAGTGGACTGCCGACAACACTCTAAAAACAAAGATCAAACATAAATTCAAGTACATTCAAAAATCTACCATTCCACACACATTAAATTGAAAAACAAGCTCACAGATAAATAATTTTTGAACACAGTTGCAAAGATACAGGAAAATAAAGGAACTCGAATATAGTGAGCAGTCGTTTTTCTATGGTAATTATAATCTTAGCACTAAACACATTACCAAATACTTCCAAAGTTCATATAAACATTACAACAAAAAGCCACTGCCGTCCGCTCCGGATTCCCCTAATACGCATCCTAGCATATTCGACCTGTGAAACGGCGTTATTGGTGGTCCATTACTTTAATTTGTAATCTTGAAATTCAGTATAAAAGTTTCTTAGTAGTTAATCCGAATTTTAGCTATACAAAAAACGTTAATGACTAGCAAACAAATGTCCAAGTTGGATGTCGGCAATGGACGAATGACTCTTATATGTATAAATAAAAAAAAAAGGCGAAGAATTATCCAAATGTCATTATCAATGATTGTCATCTTAAATGGAAAACGGAAAAACATGTAGAAATTAGTATAATAAAATAATAAAGACATAAATTGAAACAATTATGGAGACTGAAGAACATTTGTTAGCTTTGAAAGGTATTTCAAATGTTGAGAATTCTGTACAGTTACTATTTTACCGACTTGCCCTCGCTTTAAATATTGTTTTAGTTATGAGATTAACACGTCCTACATTAGCTAGTCCTTTACCAATTACTTGTGATAGCAAAGATTTGCCAGGAAATCTTTTAAATAATGCCCTACAACAGGACCCATCTGCAGTACCAGGTACTGAGACCTTGAATATAGGACAATTTTTGCTCTTACCCCAAAACCCAGTAAACATTTACCTAGGAGAGACATTTTCCAGTTATATTTGTGTTTATAGTGAAACTAAACAACTTGTGAATAACATAACTGTTAAGGTAACCATAATTCATTATTAAATAAAGCATGTTTTGATCTTTTAACTATATTCTTAATTATTGATATTTGCAGGTTGACTTGCAAACAAGTTCTCAAAAGTTGTCCCTTTCAAATAATCCACCAGCAGCCCAACTTGCACCTGAAGAAACAGTAAATGTGGTTATTCATTATGAAGTTAAAGAAATTGGAACCCATATGTAATTTTTTCATTCTTAAGTGTTCCTTTAAGGCACTGTAAAAGGGTTGGAGTTATTGTTTTTTGTTTTAGATTGGTTTGTGATGTAGGATATCATAACGCAACAGGCATACCTGTTTCATTTAAAAAATTTTTTAAAATACAAGTATTAAAACCATTAGATGTAAAAACAAAATTTTATACTGCACAAAATGATAATGTCTATTTAGAAGCACAAGTTCAGAATATTACTGCTGGCCCTATTTGTTTAGAAAAAGTAGCCCTTGATGCATCTCATTTGTTTTCTGGTAAGGCTTTTATATAAGTACATCATTTCTTTAATTATTTTTAGTTCATTTATAACTTGCATGTTCAAACTAATTTGTATATATTTTGAGTATCTGATTGTGTTCAAAAACTTCATCATTTGATTAACCAGTACTGCAATTTTAGTTTTACCCTTGAACACCAATGATGCAAATGAAAGCATATTTGGTAAAGTTACATTACTCCGCCCTCAAGCTGTGTGCCAGTATTTATATTGTTTATCACCAAATGAAAAACTTATATCAGATTTAAAGTCACTGAGTGGGGCGACAAATATTGGCAAGTTGGATATTGTCTGGAGATCAAATTTGGGAGAAAAAGGCAGGCTACAAACCAGTCAATTGCAACGTATGGTAACTATTTTTTTTTGTAAAAAAATTAACAATATTTTTAAAATGTCCTTTTCATATTTATAGAGTCCAGAGTATGGTGACATAAGATTGACTATCACTGAATTACCAAATTTTGTGACCTTGGAGGAATTATTTACTTTTAAATGCAAATTGATGAATAATGGGTAAGAATTGAACAGTATTTTACAAATTTAATATATATATATATATATATATATATATATATATATATATATATATATATATATATATATATATATATATATATATATATATATTTATATATATATATTCTCACGTATTGATTCACGGATGGAAAAATGTGATGACACTATATTCCGGGATATCATCCGTTCGCTTGTTGAACTCCGAATGGAATCCTGCATCCGACTGGAATCCTGCAAATCCTGCATCCAACTGGAATCCTGCAGACGTTTCGCCAAAATCTCACTTGGCATCTTCAATGCTCGCGCTCCGAAAACACTTCGAACACGTGAATCAATACGTGAGAATATATATATATATATATATATATATATATATATATATATATATATATATATATATATATATATATATATAAATTTGTATAATTGGGTATTTTAGAGTACGGAGTAGTATCCTGAAGTAGTTTTAGTTACATAATTTTTAGAGAAAGGACTGTGGACTTCATTTTGTACTTGGAAAATACAGAACATATAGCTTGGTGTGACATTTCGGGGCGAAAATTAGAGCCCTTACCTCCCCATAGCAGTAAAATCCTGGAATTTAAGTGCATTCCTCTCATACCTGGTTTAAGGATGTTGTCTGGTATCAAATTAGTGGACACATTTTTGGCGAGAACTTATACATATGACGAGTTGGGTCAGATATTTGTTGTATTAAATGACCAGAAAATTAGAAGTAAACAAATGCAAAAATAAATGTTTTTTTTTTAATATGTGAATGTTCTTCAGTTACAAATGGAAGAATATGTCATTACAATCTTCATCTGTGAATAGAAGTGTAAAAATGTTATTGTAAAAATCTGGATAATAATTGCAAGCCCGTTCACAATCTGGCATGAAATTCATTTCTAATATCTTGGGCTGCATTTCTGTTCCAACCCAATCCAATATAAGATCTGCTGCATACAAGGCTCTAGATTGTGGATTTTCTGCTATTCCACATGGTGGAGGGCTGGCAGTAGCACATTCCATCAATTCCCTAATCATTTTTAGGATTTTCTTTTCAATAGTTGTCCAGGGATGATTTTTATACTGCTTTTCCCATTCCAATTTGAATTTTTCACAGGTCATGTGTTTCAATTCTGCATTTTCTCTATAATTCATAACAGTAAAGTGTTTTTCATAATCGTCAAGATCATTGAGTCCATAGGGTTTATTCGCAAATCTTAAAAATAAATTTTTATAAACATAAACTTGTAGGGGTTTCACTCTCTTTAATAACACAACATATCTTAAATCAAATTTTACTTGGCCTTCACAATCATCCCTATAGAACAGTACAGGATTAATGATATATTTTTGAGCTATTTTGGGTCCTGTAGATGGAAGCCTCATAATTTGATTCAAATTATTTGTAATATTAATGTCCATTCCTCTAGCTAGATTATATGGTTTTACAATCCAGTAGTTATCCAGGCCTTCTTTTTCACGTTCTTCAAAGTATCTTACAAAATTACCAATTTCTGAGCATAAGTTATATGTTATGGGAAACCATGGAGCAGTTTCAATATTATTTTTATATTTTCGACATGTCATACACAGAAGATCTTTAACTGTAATTATATATTCATATGGGAACTGATTAATAAATTGTGGTTTTTCACTAAGAGATTTAAAGTCACGGAAATGTTTAATGTACCATAAAATATCTGCTTCTGTTTCATCCTCAGTTACTTCAAATTTTGTATCAGTAAGAAAAGTTTTTATTAAACTATATTCAGAAAAAACCATGTATTTATCCTTCTTGGTCAAGTTTATGTTTGATCTGTCCAAGTCCGGTAAATATTCTTGAACATGACCACTTAAATAATACAAAGCATTTGGTATATCTGGTTTGGCATTTATATTTTCAAAAGAAGTATAAATCCACGGAAGTAGAGCTGCCTTTCTGGCAATTTCGTCTGTAATACCTTCACTATAGTCACGGTATATTAGTTCACCTTTTTTAATATTTTTACAAGGAAATAACAAAGAAAAAGTTATTCCTTCAGGCAAGTAGACAAAAGGCGCGATTCTACAATTAGGTAAATCACTATGTTGAATGGCACACCCAATTTCATCCATAATATACCACACAGGCATATGGTCAGCCCCATCTGTTGACCTCACAGAGTAACTATTGTTTATTTTCCACATATTTTCATAGATAGCCTCTGCTGATTGATCCATAGGTAAATTCATATCAATTCCTAACATGGCACACAATCTGTGTCTTAATTTTGGAAATTGCTTTAGTTGACTTTTTGCTTGGGAAATAGTGTATGTCCAAGCATGATCAATTATGAATATATTGTGCGGGTGATCTTTACATATATCTTGCAGAGCTTGTAAACCCCAGAGCGATTCATAAGGTTGTCGCTCTGTATTATAATCAAATTGAACTAACTGGAGTGAATTTCCTGCATCAAAGGTTTGTGAAATCAATTTGTCGAAAAGAGATTCCCAAAATTGTTGAGGTACTCCAGATGATAATAATTGATCCTTATGTTTGCTCACTAAGGACTCAACCGCCGACATTACACTTTTTTTTAAGGACGGTTAATACTATAACAAAAGTAAACAAACCCGATAACCACATTTGCTTGTTTCATAACCACATATCTCAGGTCACAGAACACTGCGGTTAGCTTTGTCTAGATCTCAGGATTCCAACATTATTTTTTAATGAACTATGAATGAAATGAATTATGAACAGGCAAAACAGACAAAGGCATTAAAAAATCTAGGAAATGGTTTTTTTCCCTTTGATTTTTTACGCTTTAAGTCAATTTTGGTTCTGGTTCCTTTTTCTAAAAAAAACATATCCACCGGCAAATGCTGAGTTTACTTGTTTTACAGCTACAGTTTTTGTGTTTGCTTTTCATAAAATTAATACTCCTATGTTGTTTGTTTTCCTTTTAACAAATTCGAAGGGGAAATTTAAATGGCAATCTTGAGATTTTCATATTTTTTCTCATAGTTTAGTTTTGATCCGCCTTTAGCTTTTTATTTTTTCTTGTTATTTTTGGGTAATAAAAGAAGAAGAAATAACCTCATTGTCCGACGATGTTTTAAAAGTTTGTTTTTAATGAATGCTGATATAATTTTGTGATTAATAAAAAACACAATGGGCGTAAGACGATGTTCTGAATTTTTGCAGTTTTTGAACTACTTAATTTTAGAGAAAAAATGCTACAAGTTCGGCAAAAAGCAAAGAAAAGCGCATGCAAAGGAAAGAGGAACAACAAAGAATCAGTCAGGCTATGTCCATTATTGCTTTGGCGAATCAACTAGAGGATCCATTGGCTGATTTTCCAGTATTCCAAAATTTTAATAAGAATGGCATATCTTGCCATTTGTTTGTTAAAAGGAGTTCCAAACTAAGCGAAACAGAAAAGGGTTGGATTTTTAATTTAACCAAGAAAAATATGCAGTTAAAGTATGGCCATACTATTCATTGAACCATTTCCTACTAAAAATTCTATAAAGTCTAAGGCATTTTTGACTTCTTGGATTTCTGGAGAAAACAAAAATAGTAGTTTGCAGTGCCTTGTGTAAAATGTTAAAATCCCAAACAGTATTATGGTTTATTTCAATAAAACATTTTAATAATATTTTCTTCTTCCATTGTTGATAAATTAAATTATATTATGGCAATGTTTTTCTTTACAATAAATAAGAGCTATATCCTTCACTTTCACACCAGAGAAATACTTATATATATTTCCACATCCAACCATCAATTTTATACAAAATGTTTATGTTAAACTGAGATTCTTTAATTTAATATTATATTAATATTAATTATTATATCAATAATATATATATTATATTATAAGTTTTTTAAATAGTGTAGTTGTCTGATGACGGTTTCATACAAACAAAATTGCTGTTGATGTACTCCCTAAAATAATAAAAAACATTGGTATCCTACAAAAATTGTTCGGATCCTATTTAATACAATAAAACTCTTCATCATTTCTTGTTTTCAGATATGAACAATGTTCTTGGGGTTGGAATGATAAGAAAAAAATGGAAGAATTGTATGATGAAAGGGCTTGGTTTTTGTTGGCAGCAAACTGTATTGATCAAAGTTATTTAGCTTTTTCTCACTTTAGATTTGATATTGACATGGGCATTGAAGTTCTTTATTGGTAAATCACTTGGTTCATTTCAGGCAAGCTAATAGTTTATGTATAATATTTTTTAGTTATGAACTCCAACTAGAAACACATGTGCAAAGGAAGGGTCTTGGTAAATTTATGATGCAAGTTCTAGAGTTGATGGCATTCAAGAACAATATGAAAAAAGTTGTCTTAACGGTACTTAAAAATAATCCCAACTCTAAGTTCTTTAAAGCAATAGGGTGAGAAATTGCATTTACTTTGTTTATTTTATTTAGGGTGCTTCTCAATTAATGGGAATTATTTTATTAAATCTTGAGACGCTAAGTTTCAAAATTTTTTTATTAGTGTCTGTATTTTATTTTTTATTTATATGACTTACCATTTTATTTTAGATACGAATTAGACGAATCTTGTCCAATCGACGATGAAGAAGAAACCTACCCATATGAAATCTTAAGCAAACTAAATAAAAGGTTAGCTTCAGCTTTGCCAGCCGTAAACGTTAGAAATCCTAATCACATTTATGATAACAATCAAGGACACAGTCACTCAAATGGCCACTGCTGCCCAGGACATCTTCACTGATTATCTCAATTTGAATTCGGTTTGATATGTTTTTTTAAACTTGTAAGTATTATTTTTGTAATAAAACAATAAAATAGTCAATGAACAGTAAAAATTTATGGGATTATAAATAAGTTAATGTTTTACAAAAGAGTCGCCCGAAGATTCGCTTCTCTAACAATTCAATGGAAACAATTTTAATATGTTACAACAGCCTGGCAAAAAAATATCGGTACACATTCCTTCTTTCATGGAAATGGATTCCTAGTTATTGAGTACTCCTTATGAGCGTGTCCGCGCAGGCCTCCAATTCTTCAATTTTATGCCCCTTAAATGTCGAAAACAATTCTTGGCTCTCACAGATCGTTGTATAACCCAGCACCGGAACAATCGATTATGCAATGTAGTTTTTTTGCCCACTTTAACTTAATAAAGTTTCGTGTTTGCAGTTTTAAGTTTGAAGTGAGCGACTTTGAGATTTTAAAAATAGCAAATAGAAATGAACTATGCATTTTAGTCAGGTTGATATCTTCAAAACTGAAACGTGTAAATAAAAGTATAAGCCGTCAAGTGGGTTAGTCATATCCTAACAGAACTTGATCTTTTGTAAAATGACAATCTCCCTACGCAATATATTTCGAAAATTTCGTATAGCAAGGGGTAAATAAATTGTAGATTTTAAAAATTTTATTTGATTCCCAAAATTCTTTTTTGAAAATTATGAACAAAAGTGGTATTAGATTGTAAGTGCTTAAAAATTTTGTTTATAAGGCGTTAAAATCTTGGAACTCTAGAATGTTGATGTTTGGCACTGTGTAAAACTTCGGTCGTTTGGACCCTAAACATTTTGGAAATTAGAAATTCAAAGAGTTGCAAAACTGTTATCTGACTTTTATTTGCTTATTAGTTAATTAGAAAATGTTGATCTAGTCGTCATACATTAATGGCTTTGATTATTGAAATTTACGAAATCTTTTTTTTTAATTTTTTTTTTCAAATTTAATTTAGCGCTGGTACAGGCATATACAATATAGCTACTATACTTTTATGTAGCATATATGTTGTTTGATTTCAAATTCAAAATTGGCTATTTGAGTTAGACTTAGATCACTGATAGCGGAATTTCCGTCTCTCTGTAAGTATATTAGTGCTGTATTTTTGAAAAATGTTGGTGCATCTCAAGGGGTTATTAAGAGGAATAAGGAAGAAATACGGATATCTACCCTTTTTTTGTAAATTTTAAGTAAGTACACCAGAGGTATTAATTTTTTCCGAAATTTTAAACTACACATGGGCATATTGGGATATACGGACATTAAATGATTGGAATAAATATCATTTGTCGCAGAAAAAATCAATCCGCAACTTTTCATAACCTTCAAGTAATGTAATCACTGGCTTAATAAAGCAAAAATTATCTTGGATATCTGTGCATAAAACTGTAATCGGCGTTGATTGTTTTTACGCGAGTAATATGACTAATAATGACTATATTGTATTTATTTATCAACTGTGCTGTATAATCGCTTTTAACGTATAAGTTATGAGCGCTCGCATTATTCTCCAGACCCTTATATATATCGCACATTGTAAGGTGACTCGAATAAAGTTGTTTTTAAAAAACTCACCCTGCGTATCGACCATTTAACTGATGCAGTCGTTAGATTTTTTCCGAGTTAAGTTTATTGAACATTTAATTTCCGTGTCAACGGTCAATCGGGCAATTCACCTTTAAAAGTAGTTTAACGGTTCGAAGGAGTATCGGGTCGTGAATCGAAAGACTTTCGAAAGGACACCATGTAGAGACAGAAGAAACAACAGTTCGAGTTGCTGCTAGAGTAGGAAGACCTGGGAAGGAACAAAAATTGTCCGATCCTATAGGCACCGTAGCATTAAGAAAAGAAAGAGGAAAACGAAGAATCAGAAACAGAACATGAAAACCATTTCACTGTAAGTTTTAGCTTGTAAATCCACTTAAAAATTTAGTCAGCTCTTTCCACAATATTTTAATTTTCAAAATTTTATGACTCTATATTTCGAAAACGAAAATTTACCAAATTTACCAGATACTGACGAATTATTCGAGACCAATATGCCACTCGCAGACTATCAACTTTTAAGACTATATTTAGAATCTATTCTTTTTTATGACGGAAATCCGCACAGTCTTAACATTTTCCTATCCGCTTGTGATAGGTTGATCTTAGAATTCATTACTAACCCTTAGTAGTTTTATCTGTAGAGGGTTATTGTCAAAATTGAAAGACAGGGCTCGCGTACAGATTTAAAAATTTGGAATAAAATAAAAGATGTACTAAATTTAACATTCGGAGACCAGCGTAATATTGATTGCCTTATTCAAGACTTACTTTATCCGCGCATAGAGATATGATATGGTATGATATTGTTAGATTACGTTCGAATATTTAAATATTGGCGCGATCTATCGATTTCGGACGCGTCGGGAAATCTTCGGGTCTATTCGCGCGCGTGAGCCGGGACGCCGCAGAGGGTGGCGACGGGCATCAGTTGGATGCCCTGCTCTGGCATGCACCGCTCGACATTGACGCCAAGATCGGAAAAGTCGTCTTTAAAACAATCTCGATTTATTTAAATCTAACATCAGGTGTGGGGTACACGTGTAATCGTTTAACGTAATTTGGAGTGTGCTATAATGGCCGAAGAAGAACTGAATCGATCTTTGGGCGCCATAGCGTCGATCCTTGAGAATTTGCAACAGCGTGTCGGTACAAAGGAGCCGTCGCCGACATCAACCACATCGCCAGCCACCCAAACCACTCCCATTTCGTTGGCCTTGCCGAGTTTTGACCCCGACAATATGGATAGTGGTATTTGGTTACAAAAAATTGAAGGGTATAAGAACGAATTTGCTTGGTCAGATCGGGAAACCGTGAGTAGAATTGGTCCATTTTTGCAAAAATCTGCACTAAGATGGTTTTCGGCATGGCAACCCACGGAAGAAACGTGGGAAAATTTTAAATTTGACTTTTCTGTATCTTTTCCCAAACAAAAGAATTTGGGTAAACTGTTAAGCGATGCTGTAAATTATCGTAGTTCCGATGCGCGCAGTTATGTTGAATACGCGAGAATTAAATTAGAAAAATTAAAGCGCACGCGGGCAAGTTGGTCTGATTCGGATTTGATCGAAATAATTGCTCATTCAATAGACGATCTTGCGGTCAGAACTGCGGCCTATAATTGTAGTGCCGCCTCTGTTAGTGATTTAATTGCATTTCTCTCTAATTACATAAAAATTCCTCTAGTCGAAAAATCGGCATCCGAATTGAATAAGAAAAATAATGTATTTTCACACAAAAAAACGACGCAGGCAAATTGTTATTCTTGCGGTCAATCGGGACACTTTTCTCGCGATTGTAAATCTAAAACTAAGAATACCAATAACTCGGATAATAAAGGGTTTGATGTTTGCCGATATTGTAAAAGACCTGGTCACGGCATTGAAAATTGTTTTCGTCGGCAAAATAAACAAAGTCGAGGAAGTGAAGTTTCAGAGTCCGGACAGGACCCAACCGTAAAGAAATTTAAATCTCATCACGTTTTGCTCAATTCACATAATTTTAATGAAAACAAGTTAAAAACTGTGCCTATCGTTATTTCGGGTTACACTACAAATTGTTTAATTGATACCGGCTCCACGTGTTCGCTAATAAAAGAAACGTTGGTAGACAAATTAAATCTAAAGAAAATTCCGCGTGTTACTCCTTTACGATGGTTCGACGGTACCATACATAATTCTTTTTCTTTTACCAAAGCATTGGTAGAGTTTCCCGAAATAAAAATAACGCTTGATCTTGTTATTGTGCCGCATAGTCATTCCAAATATGACGTTATCGTTGGTGAAAATGTTTACGAAAATAATGTAGTTTTAATAAAAAATAAAAACGTTCAAAAAATTATGCCCATGCTTGCGCTTACAAATTCTACTCGAACCATTCATAACTCGGAAATAACAAGTGATCTGGAGCATGCAGAAATGGCTGGACTAATCAAACTGCTGGGGAATTATCAGAATTTGTCAACTGCTACTGATTTTACCATTAAACCTGTCAATACCGGGGAATTAACCATCACATTGACAGAAAACAAAACTGTTTATCACCATCCCTACCGTATGTCGGAGTTTGAGCGTCAGAAAGTACGTGGCATCGTTGCTGATCTAATTAAAAACGAAATCGTCCGGGAGAGCAATTCTCCATTTGGGAGCCCGATTATACTCGTTAAGAAAAAAGATGGGACATTTCGATTGTGTGTCGATTATCGTCATTTGAATAAAATAACTTTAAGAGATCGGTATCCATTGCCACGTATTGACGATCAGCTCGATCGTTTAGGCAAAAATAAATTTTTCACGTCACTTGATATGGCTTCGGGCTTTCACCAAATCCCGATTAATCCCGAGTCGATTCCAAAAACCGCTTTCGTGACACCGGATGGTCAGTATGAGTATTTAAAAATGCCTTTTGGACTGGCCAATGGTCCTGCGGTCTTTCAGAGAGCAATTAATATGGCTTTAGGTAACCTAAAATATGACACCGCGGTTGTTTACATGGATGACATAGTAATACCCTCCATCACACTTGAGGATGGATTTTGTAAACTAAAATTAGTTCTTGATGCTTTGTCTAAAGCCGGATTTTCAATTAACCTTCGTAAATGTCGATTTTTTATGCAAAACATCACCTATTTAGGTCGTCAAATATCGGCTGATGGTATCCGACCTGATCCGAATAAAGTTAAAGCAGTCAAGGAAAGTCTGTCACCCACTAACGTGAAACAAGTGCGCCAATTCATCGGTTTGGCGAGCTACTTCCGTAAATTTATTCCCGCTTTTTCTTCCAAAGTAGCTTGTATAACTCACTTGACTCGTAATGATGTTCCCTTTGTTTGGACGACTGAATGTGAAAAAGCAAGGCAGTATGTTATTGATGTCCTTACTCAAAAACCCCTATTGTCAATTTTCGATTCAAATTTAGAGACTCAATTGCATACTGATGCGAGCAGTATTGGTTTCGGTGCTATTTTATTGCAGAAACACAGTGATACCTTTCGTCCAGTTGAATATTTCAGTCAAAAAACCAATCCAGATGAAGCTATGTATCATTCGTTTGAACTAGAGACTCTGGCCGTTGTGAAAGCTTTAAAAAATTTTCGTGTATATTTGCTTGGATTAAGATTCACTTTAGTAACTGATTGCAATTCCTTAAAATTATCTGCAAGCAAAAAAGAACTTAAGCCGCGGACCGCCCGCTGGTGGGCTTATATGCAGGATTTCGACTTCGAAATTGTTTATCGTAAGGGCTCTGAAATATCTCATGTTGACTTCCTTAGCAGGAACCCAATTGAAACTGTAGCTCATATCGATTCACAACCCAATTTTCATAAAAATTGGCTTACCGTATCACAAAGTCAAGATGAGGAATGTAAACAAATCATTCAATCTTTGAACGATGCTAAAGATGATGTCAAACGAAAATATAAATTAGAAAAAGAGACCTTATTTCGTATTACAACCAATAAAAATAACAAATCGTCTCAGTCTTTACTTTTTGTACCATCTAATAACCGTTATAGTCTTTTGAAAATATTTCACGATGATCAAAGTCACATAGGTTGGGAAAAAACTCTTGCCTCAATCAGACTTTACTTTTGGTTTCCCCATATGACCAGGTATGTTAAAAAGTATGTTGAACACTGTTTGATATGTGCAGTACGAAAAAATCAGACGGGTCCTAAACAAGGCTTCCTTACTTCTATCCCAAAGCCCGATGAACCATTCCATACAGTTCATGTCGACTGTCTGGGCCCCTTACCAGGTAATCCAAAAAACTATAAATATATCCTTGTTATAATTGACGCCTTCTCCAAATTCTGTCTCCTATATCCTCAATCCACCGTTACTACAGAAGAAACAACACAAATTTTGCTAAATTCCTCAGCATATTTGGCACGCCCTCCAAACTAATTCACGACGCTGGAACTAATTTCATAGCAAAAATATTTAAATCATTTACCGAATATTTTGGCATCGAATTACACGTGACAACCCCCGGTGTTCATCGCTCCAACGGACAAATAGAACGCTATATGCGAACTATTACCAATTTGTTAAGAGTTGAATCCAATAAAGTAACAGATTGGCCGAACAAAGTATGGAAGATCCAGTTAGTAATCAATACTACGAAACAAAAGACGACTGGTTGCTCACCTTTTAAGTTAGTATTTGGTCGAGAGGGTCAAACGCCTCAAATTCGTACAGTCTTAACCGATTTGCCAATCCCTGATGAAACTAAATCTCCAGTGGATTATTCCGCAGTTATAAAGAAACTACGGCAAAATTCAGAAAGGCAGTTGAATTATCTAAATAAGAAGCGAAGAGACAATCAGCTGTATAAAGTAGGTGATACTGTTTTGTTAAGCCGAGGTCAAAGACCTGAAAAGTTTTCTTGTGAATTTGTTGGTCCTTACATAATCAAGAGATCACTTACCAATAATCGGTATTTGATTAAGAAATTAGGTACTCCGAAAACTTTTAAATGTTCTAAGGATCAGTTGCGGCATTGGCCTACTGATTGGACGCCTGACGATTTCCAAAGATTATTACAACTAGACAATTGTAAGTACATAATTTGACTTGTTGTGCCGTGTTAGATTGATTTGAGTTGTGTATATAAAACTAATTTAAATAGTCTTTGGAGTATTTTGTGTTTTGATTTTGTTGTTTGAGAGCCCATCGCAAATACGTGCTTATTGCAGTATTTCCATCGCGCTGCTCAAGTCAACTCTGTGTTTTGATTTTGTTGTTTGAGAGCCCATCGCAAATACGTGCTTATTGCAGTATTTCCATCGCGCTGCTCAAGTCAACTCTGTGTTTTGATTTTGTTGTTTGAGAGCCCATCGCAAATACGTGCTTATTGCAGTATTTCCATCGCGCTGCTCAAGTCAACTCTGTGTTTTGATTTTGTTGTTTGAGAGCCCATCGCAAATACGTGCTTATTGCAGTATTTCCATCGCGCTGCTCAAGTCAACTCTGTGTTTTGATTTTGTTGTTTGAGAGCCCATCGCAAATACGTGCTTATTGCAGTATTTCCATCGTGCTACTCAAGTCAACTCTGTATTTGTAAATGCGTGCTTACTACAGAATTTCCATCGTGTCTGTCAGCTTGTGAGTTATTACGTAAATCTAGTCCCAATTGTTTGTGAAATTCATTTGATTGATGAATTCTCGTTTTTTGTTCATTACAGGGAACTCTGGGACGGCTGATGATAAATCTGCAGAATGAAAGGTTTACGAATTTTTACCGATGTACACATCTATATATTTTAACGTTGCTGTAAAGAAATAAAACTTTGTTTTTTTTCTGTGTGTTCATGTCTGTGACACTTCAAATGAGTCATGCATTCCGAGAGCGGAATGTTGTCAGTTTGGCCGTGTTAGATTACGTTCGAATATTTAAATATTGGCGCGATCTATCGATTTCGGACGCGTCGGGAAATCTTCGGGTCTATTCGCGCGCGTGAGCCGGGACGCCGCAGAGGGTGGCGACGGGCATCAGTTGGATGCCCTGCTCTGGCATGCACCGCTCGACATTGACGCCAAGATCGGAAAAGTCGTCTTTAAAACAATCTCGATTTATTTAAATCTAACAATATGATGAACTTTGATTAGATTACGTTCACCAACATCCCTTGAGCATGCAATGAGCTTAGTAATCGAAGAAGGAAATTTCTTGTATACTACCCAGAGAACACATAATTTAAATGCGCACATGCATTTCAAACCAGAAGAAAACAATGTCTATATATGAACCGCAAACTTTTCCACAAAAACCAAATATTTTTGAAAGACCAAACATTTTCCAGCAAAGACCAACTTTTCCTATGAGACCATTTACGAATACTCAACAAAATATTTTTCAAAAACCTCTCCAATTTAATAATCCAAATCGATTTCAACAAAGACCGCCACTTTTTCAAAATAGGACACCCATATTCCAAAATCAAAATCAAATACCTATGAATTTACCATACAGCTTATCTCAAAGACCAAATTTTACTCAAAGAGAGCAATCTATTCCGAAACCTTAATTTTATTTTTTAATTTATTTATAACCCAAATACTTTCGGTTTGGAGAAACCAAAATAATCAACCCCCTAATTCAGAACCAATGGACACATCTTCCGGCAATACCCGTATAAACAATCGATTATTATGAAAATCACCTCTACGAAATTGACGATAATTTTGAAAACTACGAATATTCCGACTACCCCAATAACTATTTTGTACAAAACCCTGTAGATTATGAAAACCCATATCCAAGTACGTCCAATTATGAATAAGTAAACGAAGAAAATATTGAACCACAAAACTTAGAATTTAATGAACAATCAAATTTTTAATCGGACCAGAATACATCGGACAAAACATAGTATTAAATGCTATTAAAACAAATCTACCCTATATTTTGATTCCTTAAATAAATGCTAAATTTCAAATCTAATAGGTCCTTCAAAAAGTTTAATTAATCCCGAAATTGCTTATAAATTCTACGCTACTTTATCTTTAAAATTCAAGAATTTTATAAATTCTATTTATTTAAATTTAGTACAAAATACGACGACTTAATTGGTATTGATCTTTTAAATCAACTGAGCGCTTCAATAAATCCAACGAACAAATTAACATTAACCCTTTTTGCTAATATTCCTATAATTTTCGAAAAGGAAGAGGAATCTCGAACTTTTAACAATACAAAAAATCTTAATTACACTTTATCCATACCACCAAGAACACTACAAGTTGTAAAAATCCCAGTAAATAAGAAAAACGGAGTAGGAATTTAAATTATCTAAATTTCGAAAACGGAGTAGAAATGCCTAAAGCATTAGTTAACATGTGAAATAATTTTGCTATAACCTGTGTTTTAAATAAAAATGAGACCCCTAAGAAAATTCACTTCTCTGAACCCATCGAAGTTGCACTAAAGAATGTATTAAAAGTAAATATGTGTGAAAAAATCGTTTGTGACTATCAAAAAATAACCACCGAACAAGACATTCTTTTAAAACAAAATTTAAAAAAACATTAGAATCAGCCATTGTAACAAAGATGAAATAGACGCAATTAAGAAAATCTTTTATGAATATAGAGATGTTTTTTTATTGTGAAGGAATGCCATTAAGTCTTACTAATCAAATAACTAAATTAAAAAATGAAACCCCAATTTTTACAAAAACTACCGTTTTCCCGAAATTCTTAAACAAGAAGTAAAAAAACAAATTTCTAACATGCTAAATCAAGGATTAATTCAAGAAAGTTTTTCACCATGGTCTAATCCAATTTGGATAGTTCCAAAAAAATTAGATGCTAGCGGAAAAAAGAAATGGAGATTAGTTATTAATTATAGAAAACTCAAACACCAAATTATAGATGATAAATATCCCATTCCAAATGTCACCGATATTTTAGACAAATAAAGAAAGCAAATTGAGATAGATCCTCAAGACGTTCTTAAAACAGCTTTTTCAACAGAAGGAGGACATTTCGAATTTAAAGGAATGCCTTTTGATTTAAAGAACGCCCTTCAACGTTCTAACGCGCAATGGATAATGTGTTATGAGGTGTACAAAATGAAACATGTTTAGTCTACTTAGACGATATAATCATATTTAGTACTTCATTACAAGAACATTTGGAGCGTATTAAACAAGTATTTAATAGACTTCGATCTAGTAATTGTAAAATTCAACTTGTAAAGTCAGAATTTCTTCAAAAAACAGTGCAATATTTAGGACATGTTATTACCCCAAACGGTGTGAAACCCAATCCAGAAAAAATAATCGTCCAATAGCAATATTCGACTATTGAAAAAGAGCTATTAGCCATGGTTTGGGCTTGTAAACATTTTAGATCCTAATTATTTGGTAGACAATTAAACTAAAATTAGAAGAATTTGATTTTCAGTAATATATAAAAAAGGAAAATTTAATTTTAACGACGATTGTCTATCGAGAGTTAAAGTAAACGCCATAGAAAATGAGAATGAATCAGTAATTAATAATCCAGAAGAAATCTTAGCTTTCTTAGAGATCTCGCAAATATAGTTGAAGCCTTATCTTTATGGTAACCTAATAATCAAAACAATGAAAACCCGCCTAGAAATTCCGAAAATAAAAATCCAAAATTCGGTAAAATATCCTGTATTACTTTAAAAGGTCCTGACGTAAATTCTACTCAACATAATGAAATGAAACAATCAATAAAGGAATTAAAATATACGACGAAAGTATTAACAACAAAGTAAACCAAATTATTGTGTCAGTAAATGTACATCATAAATTGGAAGTTACTAGAGAAACATGAAAGTCATACAGCAATATTAGTTAAAATTGCAGCTATAAATAATGAGGAACCCATTTTAAAATTAAAAAAAAAATATACCGATTCTAAAATAGTTTATTTACTTTATTTCCGAACAGATCAATTATATAATGATTTTTGCATAACATATCTAAAACATTTTGCAGAAAAAGACCCAAAATTAATTCGGTGTGCGAAAAGAGTAAATACAATCACTGAGAAGAACAAATATTACTAATAAAATATAATCGCGAAAGTAAAACAAACCATCGCAGAGAATATTTACAAAAGAATTATTATTGGAAAAATATGAAATTAACAATCACCAATTGTATTAACAACTGCGACACTTGCCAACGTACAAAATATTCCTTACTAAGCCCTTATTTCCCAACAATGATAACTAAAATACCTACGAGACCATTTCAAAAGGTTCACGCAGACATTTTTATATTTGACGGTCGAAATTATTTAACAATAATGTACCCTTTTAATAAATTAGGACAAGCATATTTTATAGAAGCCAAAACAGCAATTCATTGTTTCAGATTTGGCGTCGACATTATCGGAGTTAGATTAGAAGAACCAAAATTTCATAATTTGAATTTGATATTACGAAACTTATAGAAGAATTCTCCAAATTAAAACTTAACTATTTGTAAACCAAGAAAATCTTTGGTAATATTACTGACCCAAATCTAAAGGATAAAAAAATATAACAGGTAACCTTAACCAAAACGATGAAAGGTATGATAAAGCTATTAATATGTTGACAGAGAACCAAAGTAAAATTAAAAAGACAATGATTAACCAAATAACAACAACCCTTTTAAACCAGATGGAAACATTAATAGTAAAATATATATTAATAGTAAAAAATATATAATCAAAAAAGAATTTTTTATACCCTGCAAAGGATAGAAGTTGCAATTAGCTTTGCTAAACTAAATATATTTCATAATTCCATTACTGAACCAACTTATCTACTATTAGAAATCCAAAAAGCTAGTAAATATATTAAAGGAAATAAATTCCCTTTTCGAAATAAACCTTAAGAATATTCTATATTTTGAAAGAAATATGAATATTAAAAGTTACTCTAAGAAAAATCAAATTTTCTTTAAAATAGAAATCCAAATTATACTACTACTATACTACTACTATTTATATTTCTTACCTACTCCGAAAACTAACACATTTGAAACTATTGTCCCCCGTTCAAAATTCCTTATTCTAAACGAGCAAATCTATTTATTCTTTGATGAAAAATGTAACGATTTAACAGAAGAATTTATATGCCAAGACCTACAAACGTCAACCATAATAGAAGTAAATATGCCTTGTGAAATACTACTTTTAAAATATGTAGTAAACGCTATTAACTAAACACCTGTCTCTACTCTGCTAAATAATATTAAGATACAGAAAAGAACCAGTGGATCCTCATCACACCCAAGAAGTTCGTAGTAACTCAAAAATGTGACAACTCTAAGGAAAATACTTTTATTAACGGAACGTACGTAGTGGAAATAAATAATCGATGTGAAATCTACGTCCAAAATATGATCCTATGAAGACCTGAACTCAAATTTTAAGAAATTGGAACTGACCTTGGTACCAATTTCACCGTACCTAGAAGCCAGAAAGGAAAATTTGAATCAACTTAAAATCGACGAAGTCAACTTGCCGAAGTCCGAAAAATCTACCAAACCCTCGACGTACAGAAACAAGAAGAACTATCTACCGGGAATTTAAAACTCTATGAAACCAGTATATATACAGTTCTTTTCTTATTTAATTTTAACAAAATGTCTCAAAATAACCTTTTGTGAACTTATATTTAAAAACCAGAAAATTAATAATGAAGAAGTTTCCCTAAAAGAAAGAAGTAAACAAGGACGAAGACAAGCAGATACCGAGAGAAGACCAGTTTCCCTCTCGTTTGCCCCGTACTATTAGCTACCCTATAATTCTTCACTAAGTCCGGGCGAGTTATATGACTAATAATGACTATATTGTATTTATTTATCAACTGAGCTGTATAATCACTTTTAAGATATGAGCGCTTGTATTATTTTCCAGACTTTTATAGTGTATTGCACATTGTAAGGTCTCTGTGACTCGAATAAAGTTGTTTTTAAAAAACTCACCCTGCGTATCGAACCTTTAACTTGCGACAGACGAATGTAACAAATACTTAAGCGTTTTTTGCAACAGTGGGCTTTTTATTTTTTGTAAAGTAATGTTTAGCAATTAATTACTAACACTTGTAACAAATTATATAAATTTATATTATGATTAAAATATCATCCGTTTCGATAATGATAATTGACCTTGGGGAATGACTATTCCTTGTGACAATAGAAGCTAATGCGTAATTTTCAACTAAAACTCCATAGCACTTTGGACCAAATTAAAGAAAGTAAAAAAATGTTAGAACAGAGCGCTCCCAGCAAATATATATCTAGTCATTGATATTTTATATATAAATAATATACTCTTTTTTAGCAATAAAATGATTATTTTTCAAGATATTTGAAGCTCAACATAAAGCTGAAGAATTACTGACATACTTATTATGTAGGAGTTTTGGCGCATTTATTACGTAACTTAAACATTAATCGGCAAGTGATTTGGGTTAAAAATATTTTGAGCTCCAGGATTCTACAATAAAATATCAATTATTAATAAATCGTGCTGTATACTATTAGTCTTGTCTTTAAGGCCGAGACTTGCGATGCGTTTTTGCGGGACCCGCTTGGCGGGAACGATGTGTTGGGGCTATACATATTGCGGTAGAACGGAAAGTACGTCATGTGTGCTCGGATGTTTGGGCTCTTGAAACGGCTTTGCTTGAACAGCCAACAGCTCAACTTTCGTTTAGCCCATACCATTTACATAAATAAGGATTGTACTTTTGAACAAAGAATTAAAAATATTTTTTTCGGAAATATGTCATTTCCATTTTCCGGGTTCTAGAATAGTTGAAATGAGTTACATTAAAACTGTTGTTTGCTCTAAATTCTAAGTGTTTGAATAGTCGAAATAAGTTACATTAAAATTTATTTTTGCTATGGATTTGAAACATTTGTTTGAATATGTAAATATGTATGTTTGTAAAAATTTTTGGTATTATCGAGAACAACGATATATAGACTCAAATAAAAACACTTCGGTATGTGCAATCACGCCTAATTCAATTTTTAATTAGGGAAGAAGATATTCTCTACGTCCTCTTCATCCCAGGCATGAATTTAGTAAAATATTTATGAAATTTTAGGAAGATATGCGGAAGTATGAAGATAAATATTTTCCTAGTATTAAACCTAGATTCACCAATTCTTCTGTTTTTCATTTCTATCACTATACGCTTTCGAACCCTTCTCCTAATTGGCTAGAAACTTTTAAATGCATTAGATAAATTTTGTTTATATTGAACATAATTGCGTAAATAAATTCACTGCAAGGGCACAGTTTAAACGCTGCGGTATAAATGTGTGTTCGATCTTATTTTGGTAGAGGAATATTTTTCGGGTAAATTGTGAGTATCAGTTTTTTTTTATTATTATAAATTTGCCTAACCTCTAGCTTGGTTCAGCCAGGCTATTTTTTTGCGACGTTGTGCGCGTTTCCTTTTTTGAAGAGACAATCGACAAAAAGGAACGAGAACGGCACCTAGTCAGTTGCGATTAAACAAGCAAGGTAGGATTTACTTTCCGCGTCGATACAAAATTTGGTCCATACGAGTCGGATATTAGTTTTCGGAAAATAATTGTGTAATCGGTGATTGCAAGACTTTCCCCGGATTTTTCGTTGTTCTCGAGCAAGTGCTTTTCGTATTGTATTTGGATCGACAATAGCCTAGAAAAGATCCAGGTAAAAGGTTGGGCAAATAAATTTAATTTTACCGATTTTACAATTTACCTTGCTCCGCGACCAAAAAAAAAAATTCGTTTCCTTTTTTTTATCGACTTTCGTCGAAATTCGATTAATATATCTATCTATATATATATATATATATATATATATATATATATATATATATATATATATATATATATATATATATATATATATATATATATATATATATATATATTCTCACGTATTGATTCACGGATGGAAAAATGTGATGACACTATATTCCGGGATATCATCCGTTCGCTCGTTGAACTCCGACTGGAATCCTGCATCCGACTGGAATCCTGCATCCGACTGGAATCCTGCAGACGTTTCGCCAATATATATATATATATATATATATATATATATATATATATATATATATATATATATATATATATATATATATGATGACACTATATTCCGGGATATCATCCGTTCGCTCGTTGAACTCCGACTGGAATCCTGCATCCGACTGGAATCCTGCAAATCCTGCATCCGACTGGAATCCTGCAGACGTTTCGCCAAAATCTCACTTGGCAGTGCAGTGTTCGAAGTGTTTTCGGAGCGCGAGCGTTGAAGATGCCAAGTGAGATTTTGGCGAAACGTCTGCAGGATTCCAGTCGGATGCAGGATTTGCAGGATTCCAGTCGGATGCAGTATTCCAGTCGGAGTTCAACGAGCGAACGGATGATATCCCGGAATATAGTGTCATCATATTTTTCCATCCGTGAATCAATACGTGAGAATATATATATATATATATATATATATATATATATATATATATATATATATATATATATATATATATATATATATATATATATATATTGTTGAGTTCAAAATTATGAAAATTTCTTTTTAATTTTGTGTATCTTAAACATGCCGGACATTTCAGTCAATGTGACAACAGGGCGTTGTACCGCCAAACCGGCAAGGTCTACGTTTCTGCTAGTCTAGTAACAATATTCTAGCGTTACGGGGTAGACGTTCACGGCATGGGTCGCGACGTCGCGGCAAAGTGAGATACAGTCCATTTATAGAAAAGAAAAATTCAATAAATATTAAGTGATTGAGGAAACGCTTGTATTATTGAAGAAACATAGTGGTCCATCTAACGGGATTGTGATCCATCGAGTGGAGAGTTTTCAATTGCGAGAATTATTGAGTGTTCCGCAAAAGTGAAAAACGAGGAAATTGCGAAGTACAGATTGTTGGATCGTCTGTATTCGCAAAGAAAATTGTGTGAAAATTGTGAGGGAAACGTTTACGAGTCCGTAAACGAACGCTGGCAAGCAAAAAAGCGCAGCTGGGACAAGGCGGAGCGGCGCGGTGCACAAAGCATTGTTTGAAGGTCGTCGGTGCGGTGCCGTGGAGTTTATCGGCGAGCGCGGCGCGGCGTTGGAAATTGCACGTGCGGGCCGTACGATCACGCAGCATTGCTACGACGCGACGGAAGACGAGACAGTAAGAGCCGGACTTAGAAAAAAAGTCGCCGTTAACCTGTAAGTCCATCCTTTTCAAACCTTTGTTGGATTTTGTAGTTTGTGGTCTCTATTTTGTGTGAAAAAAATCAGCAAAATGGCTGAGCAATTAAACCAATTAATTAGAAAGCGAGCTAGTGTAAAAGCGAGCTTATCTCAATTTAAAAGGTATTTAACAAATTTCAATGTGCAAACTGAAAGCGCATCTTCAGAAAAAGAAGTGTTTATGCAATTGCAATTTAGAACAGAGAAAATAATCGAGTTATTAGATATTTTTGAACAATATCAAAGTGAAATTGAGGTAATATGTTCGGAAAAAGATTTAGAGAGCCAATTTAATGAAAGGGAAATTTTCCAAACAGAATTTTACAATATTGTCGCAAAAGCAAAAAATATTTTGGGTGATTTTAATGATACGAACAACAAAAATGAGTGTTTGCAAAATATTACGCATTCGGATTCCAACTCTGTCATTTTTCAGGAAAATTTACGGCCAAATTCTAATGAAACGATGGGTGTACGATTACCTTTAATAAACTTACCAACGTTTGCTGGAAACTACTCAAAGTGGTTGGAATTTAGAGACACGTTTGATAGTTTAATTCACAAGAATAAGTCGATTGGCGACATTCAAAAGTTTCACTATTTGCGTGCGTCACTTGAGGCTCCAGCAAAGGAGGTAATTCAATCATTAGAATTTAGCGCTTCAAATTATGAGATCGCGTGGGACATTTTGTGCAAAAGATATGACAACAAGCGTATTTTGGTGCAGAATCATATTACGGGGATTTACGATATACAGCCCATAAAATATGAATCTTCTTCTAGTTTGAGAAATTTAATTGATAACGTAGACAGGAACTTACGAGCCTTAAAATTTGGGAGAACCTGTAAAATTTTGGGACACGTTAATTTTGTATCATTTAGGAACTAAACTTGATCGCGTAACATTAAAGGAGTGGGAATCTTTTAAAATAAAAACAGAGATGCCTGAGTTAAAAGATTTTAAGCAATTTCTAAAAAGCCGTGCAGACTTGTTAGAGACCTTGGAAAACAATTCCCGGACAAAATTGAAGGAAAATTTAACCGGGCAAAAACAAAGGGTTTTTGTTGCTGGGGTTGAAAAAAGCAAGTGTGTTGTTTGTAAAAGCGGTCATGACATCAGCGAATGTAAGAAATTTTTGGAGTTAACAACCAGCCAGAGAATTGCGCAAATAAAACGAAACAAATTATGCATGTGTTGTTTTTCGAACAAGCATTTTAGTTTTAATTGTCAAGGGAAAAAATGTTCGCAGTGTGGTTTAGGGCATAATGTTCTATTACATTTTTATAACCAACGCCAAACTGAACATGGCAGTGTTGATAGTGCCCCAATTGCTGACGTACAAAAGGCTGTAGAAGCGTCTTCAAAGGAAGGAAGTAAAACCTCTGTGGCGCTATCGAGTAGAAATTGTGGGACTCAAGGTCAGGTGTTACTTTCTACAGCGATTGTCAAAATAAAAATGTGTGACAAACTTTGGTTAAAAACAAAAGATGCGAATGTGTGTGTGGTTGGGATTGGTCAAAACACTGAAAAGATTTCGAAACGGTGTAAAGTAGAAATCACTTCTCAGAAAGGTGATTTCCAAATTCCTATCAGTTGTTTAATCATTCCAAAAATTAGTGATGAGATTCCTTTGTGTGAAATTGAGTTAGGGCCAATAAATATTCCAGGAAATATTTGTCTAGCAAACAGTGAATTTCATTTGCCTGATGAAGTGGATATGTTAATTGGTGCAGGTGTGTTCTGGAAGCTCATAAGAGTAGGAAGAATCGAATTAGGGGAAAACAAACCTGTCTTACAAAACACTTGGTTAGGATGGGTAGTAGCGGGCTACATCAGTGGACAAGGATCTCGAGTCAAACCTAAGAAAACGGTGTGCAACCTAAGTATCGGTTCAGAGGTACAAGACCAACTCGCCAAGTTTTGGGAACTAGAAGAGCCAGGTGGAGGTCAAATCGAGGGAATGACACGGGATGAAGTTGATTGTGAAATTTTGTTTGTGTCAACAACAA